TTTTATTTGTTTGGGTGTCACAGTCTGATTATTAATATGGTAACAAAGCAAAACTAATTCAGGAAATAGAATCTAGTGTAAACTAAACTAATATTTGCTACGTCTAAAGAATCAATCGTAATAAAACATAGCATGATTGATAATCATCTGGATCCGAGTAACAAACGCTTAAATGTCCTGTGGGGAAAAAAATGGATTTACAATGGCGGGAACTAAGTAAAATGGATTTTTTTTAAACGGGCTGAGAGATTATATAATTAAGCTTGCATATCACAAACAACAATGTATATGTATTAAATTTTCCAAGTATTCAACTTTTTTCTGCAGAATACAACTGTTTACCACAGAATACAACTGCTTACCATAGTATACAACTGTTTATGGCAGTATACAACAATTTACCCCAGTATACAACTGTTAACCCCAGTATACAACTGTTTAATGCAGTATACAACTGTTAACTTGGTAAAAATACAGAGGAGGTTATTTAACTGGTTTGGTAAAGCTTTAATTTTGAAATGGTGTTCCAAAGATTCTCGGTTCAAGTTCCATTCAGGAATTAAGACCAGTCCACTTACAGTTTTTGAGATTTCAGTATCAAAATATTGAATTTGAGCAACAAAACAGAAACAAGATTCAAGTGTGCTGTCCAGTCTCACATATAGACTGGTTATTCTGACCACTTGCATTTGGAAAATTGACATTTCAATTAAGAAGATTTTATAACAAAAACAAGACAGCTCTATTAATTATGTAGGCGACTTATGACATCTTAACAACAACCAACTACCAGTACATTCAAACAGCCAGAGGCAATCTTTGACAAGCAAATGATAGGTTTATGACTGACTAACATTAAGTTAATCATTGTTTTACTTTTGTCATTGACAAGGTAAAATAGTTCTTTATCACTTCACTCAAAATTAATATCTTTGTTTTTGCCTTGTTGGTAACACGGTACATTTTTCACTGTGTTTTTCAGGACATATGATATTTTTTTTATCTACAACTAGGTCCAATGCCTAAACTTCAATTCTTATGTTTTTCCCCTTCCCTTTTCAAAATTTCCCTCTCAATAATTAGTAAACAAACACAAGAAATATTAATTAAAGCAGCATGCCTCCAGATTCATGCTTATTTCATGAAAATTTTGAACATTTATTTAATGGTAAAATACTGTGAACAAAGAAAATAATTTACACATTGCAAACGGCACTTATGATCTACATAAATGACCACAAACAGGTCAAAATATGCAAAAATAGCCCATACTGTGTCTAAGTCATGCAGTATAAATATAGTGACAAATACCACAAAATCAGTCATTGACTTCACATAACATGTAAGTTATTACTTAAATCTTGAATCTTTTCTTAAAAATCTTAGTTAATTTCACTCAAGTTTAATTTTCTTGAAACATTTTGACTCATCTAGAGGCATGCAGCTTTAATTTTCATCATCAAGATTCCTTTCTACCAGAAAATTTATGTAGAACTAGCATTCACAGAATATTCCATTACCCCCACCCCAAAATTTGTTTTATAGACTTGCCCTGTTTAAACTTTGGGCCAATTCATTGTAAATTTAAGGGATGTCAATCTCAAAGCCAACTATAGTAAAGTCATCAACTCGCTACTTTTAAAGCTGCACACATCAGACAAGTACACTAAATGTTCAAAAAGACAAACATATGAAAATTAATTATCGGTCTAAAAATTCAATGTATTAACAATAAAATTGACTATGTATTTGTGCAAAATATTAATAAATTAATCAGTTTTAGAACAAATCTCTACCATGTTTCAAATTAATTAGGGCTATTTTTACTGTCTACATTTTTCTCCCATTCATAGAAGATTGTTAATACCTTATGTTAGCTTAAATTACTTATTTACTTTAATAGTAATTACTTGTTTGCCAGACAATATTTTCACTATTTAAAACACTTAAATTTTCAGATGAATCTGGAGGCATGCTTCTTTAAAAAAAAAAAAAAATTCATAAAAGTACAGAAATGTGGAGAGTTGAAGAATTTAATTGAAAACTTCACATTTCATTGTAGCCACTTCCTGCTGGACAGGCATAGTAATAAATCAGTCATCAACTTTTGAGGCTGACCTTAGGTTACTTGTAATTGTTAGGGGTCACTCGCTGTTAATTTCTTCACTGAATGCATATCTAAAGCTTCAATGGTACAGAAGTGAAGTGCTACATATAATTCTTTGCTGAGTCACCTTACAAAATGTGTACTAAAAAAATCATGTTAATTTCCAGTGATAAAATGCATTTAATGTGATTTTCAAAATATTATTTTTTCGCCACAATCAATCTTAATTTCATAAGATGAAAAATATTTCTTGTACTATTAATGAAGCATTATCTTCATTATACACAATGGTGTAAATACCAGTATATTTTACTACATGTATATAATACTTGAACTTTATACTTCATCGGAAAAAAATGAAAAGACACAAATGTTTTTTTTTTTATTTTTGGGTTTAAGGTCACACTAACACAGTATAGGTCATATGGCAACTTTCCATCTTTACTGGTGGAGGAAGACCTTAGGTGCCCCTCTGTGCATTATTTCAGGCATGAACGGACACCGGAGTAGAACCACCAAAAATCTGTTAGAAAGCTGGATACATGAAAAAATCCAAAGTCCCAGATGGGATTTTTAACCTACAATGGCGAGGGGCCAGTGGTTTGAAGTCAGCAACTTTAACCTCTCAGCCACAGATGCCCCTACAAAAGGGCATTATGTACCAGCAAAAACCAAAGATAAAAATAATTGCAAAAACATCACATTCCATATAATTCTTAAATTAATGTTACAATCACACCATATTATATCATAAATTCAACTATTCCTGCCAGAATTAATCAGGATTAATTAAGGGGAACATTTTTAAAGTCTAACGACTTCATTTGAGCCACTGAGTCTTTTATAAAAGAAAGCCTTCAATACAAAAAATATATACATGTATTACACTTAACAAAAATCAGGGGTCAAGTAAAGTCAGTGATTGAACTTGTTGACCTTACGAACATGCATACTTGCATGAATCACTGAACCGCGATGCTGGTGTAAAGACATGTCTTATTGTACTTTTATGCAGTTTTGTGCTCTGTATAAGAGTAGCTCCATTAAATTCAAGAATAAAGTATTTCAAACATATATGTTCTGGCTGTTGTTAAAGCAGCACACCTCCAGATTTATGCTGATTTTCATAGCAATTTTAAAAATTTTAATTATAAAAATAAAATTTGTGATGTAACAAAATAAACCCAATTTGCACTTTATCAATGACACTTCATTCCATGTTTTACCAAATTTTGTAAAAAAAAATGCAAAAAAACCTACCCCCCCTTAGTAAGCAGTGGGAAATATAGAAATTATGAAAAAAAACAGCCCCTTAACCACATAACATGTCAATTATTACTTGAAGCATGAATCTTTAACATTTCTATAAATCTTAATACATTTTTCTCATGCTTGATTTTATTGAACTTTTTTGGCTCATCTGGAAGCATGCAGCATTAACATGTACATGTAACTCTTTTGCTCAATTTAATTAAAACTCATAAGCTGAATATATTTTCCGGTATTTTAAGTTGTTGGTGCTGACGCATGACTCTTATATCATATTATGTTTCCTTTTTTTCAGTCTGTGTAATTTAGAACTAGCCTATGGCTAGTAGAATTTAGGTCAGGCCTGAAAATTTTTTCAGGTAACTAGCCAACTGACCTGTGAAAAATTAGCAACTGAACCATTTGTTTATATCTGAAAATTAAATGACTAACCAACCAACCAACAGACTAATTTTTGTTTTCTTCTTTTTTCTTTAAACTCAACTAAACTAACTTATCTTCCAGTAAATAGAATTACGAAACAACTTTTAACATTTTGTTTTTGTTAATGCAGAGAAAACATATCAAGAAAGCATGTTTTATGATTGAGCCATAAATAAAAGTTTAAGATTGAAGATTATGAAGGCCACGAAAACCAAAACCATAAAAGCAATTATTACCAGTAATATATAATTATGGACCAAGTTGACGTGCCAAGTTGGTTTAGGGGCAAGAGTAGCCCAACAAATTGTGCGCTTTGGGGCTTTTTATTATATAGACGATGGTCCCCCTTCATGACAGACATCTATGAAAAATCAGATTATAAAATCGGTCGGTCTTGCAGTAGAAATATTGAGACTAGGGCAAGAGGACTCTGCCGCCGAGTTAGTTTAGGGTGGAGTTGACCCGTATTCGTTTATACAGTATGTGAAGGTAATCTAACTCAAAGGCAATCTGAACCACATCGTTCTATTATTGTAATTCAACGAAATTATATATATTTCTAATTTATCCATCAATCTATATATAAGTTTCAAAAAATTCAGCACTTGTGAGTAAGGAAATATATGTTTTGAATGATCCAAAACAACCTGGGCAATCTCCTGGATTAGACCCCTATGGCTATGTACTTTTCAGGTCTAAAACTTGTATATAATACACTAAAGAAAACGGAATGAACCTTATATATACTCCTGGTTTAGACCCCGGGGTCTAATCCAGGATATAGCCACAACCTGAATGACAAATTAGCTAAATTCTTTGACTGTAATTTTTGTTAATTAATTTGGCTGTATTTTTGCTTTATACAAAACTAACTGTTACTGTAGTCCCTGACTAATTTTAGCTCTTTAAATGACAGGTTTGAAAAGTAACTTTAAACAATAGACAAATATCTAGCAACAGAATAAAACAGTAAACTGTTGCTAACTTAATAAATTCTTAACCAACAGGCCAAGTAGGGGTGTACACAGTTTTGTAGGAGTTGTCTTGAAATTATTTCAATATCAAATCAAACTTCAAATAGCAAACAATTTGCAAATTTGAACTAGCTGCACTAATAAAGCGTTATAAAGTGTAACCGCTGCTTAACGATTTATTCTCGTTCTTCTACGATGTAATACTGTATTTTCTAATAATTTCTCACCTTTAACAAACAAGAAATGTCAACAAAATTGCAGGTCGCCATTTCGTTATCACGTGGATATACAGCGCCATCTATACCAGAGACATATATTTATCAACCAATCATAACCGTTTCCTGTTCACGTGACGTAAATCCTAAGAACCGTATCGGCGGGAAGTTCAGTCCGTCTGCCTCAGTTTACTAAGAAGGGAAGCGCACGCTGTTCGTCGAAAACATCACAAAAAAGCAATCAAAATGCCTTCAGAAAAGTAAGTTTTGATTTTGTATCAATGAAATTCATCAGATAAATTCACTACCTAACAGAATGTATTGAAATATGATTTCTTTAAAGTTTTATTTTAAAAAAAACTTAGCGGTGCTTTTGTTTTCCGCCTTTGTGTGAAAGTGGGTCACAGGCATAATGAGTTTTATGTTGATTGAAAGTTGAGACAACGGCAAAATAATTATGGTGAATGAAAGTGCCATCATATCTTGGTATAGATTTTATATTTGGTGGTATGTTTTTATATTGTTTAAATTTAAAAAAATGAAAATGGATTTTAGCAGACGACATGTGTGTAACGGAAGTAAAGAAGTGGGCCATGTAATGTACATGTGTTGCTATATTTAGACGAGGCTAAATTTAGATAAATTGGGTTTTCCTTTTCAGAGAAGAAGTCCAAACTGCCACTGAAACAACAGAAACACCAGAAATTAAGACCAAGACTGTTGAAGATGTGAAAAGAGCAGTTGAAGAGGCAGAAAAGGTAGTTTGATCTTAGTTTGTTTTGATGGAGAAAATTTTTTTTATTTGGATTTATTGGATATAATCTCTGGCAAATGGATTGTGAATTAGATTTATCCTATAGTGATTTTCATCAATTGGAATCATAATCCTAGTGACCCATGGAATTTGATAAATGAAAGGAAATTGAATTTGTTCAAAAATTGGGAATTGAAAAGGATTGCTTAAATGCTGAAATGTTTAGGGACAGGATCAACTGCCATTGCCATTTTCAGATGCTTTGGGGCAAACCCTTACCCCTGACAAAAGGGCTTTTTCCACAGGTTGGGGAAGCAACCCGACATCTTTTGGGGAATCCATTATTATACAGTTTGCAAAATGGGATGAAAGAAAAATGATGTAAATTCAATTCTTGATGAAAACGATTTTAAAGAATTTTTCATTTGGGAAGCCACCATTGAACAGCCCCTGCCATAGAAGGAAAATAGGCCTGGACTTAAACTGCACATAGCAAAAAAAACATTTTAATACAAACAAATGGGACATCTGTCTTAATCTTTAAACTAGTTTTTTTAAACCTTTCACAAAAGTTTTGGATAAAAGTCTGACCCTTTCTGAAAAAGGCACCTGGCTGTAATTTTAAGGAAATTTGACACACTGGCATTTGCCTTTATCTGATTGTTCATGTAACCTGTTGCATCTTTTATAAAGCAACTCTTTTGACTTACTGAAAGTGAAGCATTAAGATTTTTAAAGCTATTTTGAATACTTTCTAAAGGTGAGTGGGGAGGGGGTGGGTATTTCCTTTTAACAGTTATTGAATTGACCTTTTCGAAAACCTAGCTAAACACCGTTTTCCGGTACCGTTTTAGCTCTGGGGAATTACATCAAATGAAGTACATAACACAGTTCCGTGATATTTGGATTTTTCTATCAGTATTTAACCGTTTAAGGTGAAAAAATTGATGTTTTTGAAAATTATCAATATTCCTTTAATATCTATTCCAAATTATTCAAAAAAATAAATTGTTTATAATGAAAATCAATAAAATTCAAACAGACGTAGTGGAATCTTCCATAATAAATAAGGTTATTTTCTGCGTTAACTTGTGTATTTACTTTATTTTTTGTATGAAATTATTCATACAATGATATCTAATTATTTTCTTATAAAGAAATAATTACTTTATTTCAATTTGATTTTAAAAAAGGCCGAAAACATCGAGTTCGCTATTACACTCCATTGGGTGAATTCCCCAGAGCTATGTACAGAAAGTACCGTAAAACGGCGTTTAGCTAGGTTTTCGAATTCGTGAATGAAATAGGGCTGCATTTACAAAGCCAATAATAATATATTTTTTTTAAATTATCAAAAATTTATCAAATTGTATTGAATGACTTAAAATCATGACTGGGCTATCTCACTTTAATGGTTAATGGCATGAGCCTCCCGTCATTTGGAAGAATTGCTGTTTAAATTACTGGTGCACACTGTTAGGAAAGATGAGTTATAGGTTTGCGTTAGATAAGATTCAGAAACAGAGACAGTTTACTTTCAGAATGTTTTATAATGTGTCTAAGTGAAGCAAGGGATTTCACTTTTTGATTATTAACAGTTTGAAACCGGACATACTTGATAAACCCATGACATTACAGTGCTTATGTTCACAAAGTGCCTTTGACACAGAGGGGGAAAAAAACACTGTAAAATTAATTGGAGAAGGGCCATTTATCAGCCCCAGGTGAAAGGGCAAAAGTGCCCTGTCCTCATTTGAATTATTATAATAAAGTAGTTTTCATTTCAACTAAACTTGCATGCTACTTTTGTTTTGATAGTCTCTGAGAAAAGACGGATTATGCTTTTTGCTTGCTTTAAATTCATATGGTAAAAAAAAAAACACAAACTGGAGCTTATTTATTTGGCATGTATGGTGTTTTAGTGGAACTTGAGACAAAAATCTTTCATTAAAAATGTCCTTGTGTCCTTAATGGGAATTGCAGTTTGCTTGAAAAAACTTTCAGAAAAAAAAATATGTATATTCATATTTTATACTAAGATCAGTGTTTATTCTAGGATTCGAAGAACGGGGGATTTTTATCGAAAAATGAGAATTTATTACATTTGTTGATCTTTTTCCTTCTTTGTCTATGTAAAAATTTTCCCTTCCTCTCAAAAAATAGGGGTGAATCCCCCCATAGCCCCTCCTAGAATAGACACTGCTAAGATGTTTAACATATAAATTTCTAGCAATGTAATTGAAGCATTGTTCTCTTAGAAGGTATATTAATATTCATTTGATTGTGTATATCTTTGATTGTTTCAGGCACAAGATGCTACTGAAGAAACTACTGAGACTAAAGAGGAAGAGAAAGAGAAAACTGAGGAGAATGGCAGCAGTCAAGAAAAAGAAGAAAATGTAAACCAAAATGCCACAGAATCTACAGGTATTGAAATGATTACTGATTGCTGTTTAGTTGGCTGATATAAAATTTCTCAAGCTAGTAATCTTTGCAAGTGCCAAGAAAGCTGGACTTTAGAAATGCTTTGAGAATCATTAAAGTCAATGTGTTGGCACATTCTAATGCTATTTATATGTCACTACCGGATTATCATGAATATGATTTGTCCAAAAAAAAAATCTGCAGAAATGTAAGAAATTAATATATATAACACTTGGAATAAAAAATCATCAATAATATGCTGAATACAGTTTCATGATAATATTTGAATTCACGTTTTTAAACACTAAAATGCCTGTTTCTGCATAAAAACTAATAAAAATAGATTTTCATAATTCCTGAAATGTTTTATTCAAAACCTTATTATAACTACCTGGTTTTACTGGGTGCATGAACTTGAAAGTGGTTCCTGCTACTTCTAATCAAACAAAAAGTTTAAAAACTGATATACAGAAATAATACAGAAGACATGAGGCAGAAACAAGTGTCTCTTAAAGCACTGTGCATGGGAAAGTATTTGTACTTTATTGGTATGTTTAACTTTACATTTGTCAATGTTTATTTTTGTATTACAGAATCAGAAAAAAGAACGTTAGATGAAGAAGAGGCAGACAATGAAGATTCAAGCCCCACAAAGAAGACCAAGACAACTGAAACTGATGAAAACAAAGAATCAACAGAAGAAAAATCAGAAGAATCTAATGATTCTTGAAGACTTTAGTCATAATGAATGTTGTCATATCATTTTTACACTTGTTCATCTCATTTTTGTTGAGAAACTTCGTTCATCTCGTATTTAAATAATCACGAGCAGCCAAATTGTGTCATGTTGAGTGTTATATTTAGTATATTTGTGGAATAAATGTCGTATAAAATCATACCTTTTTGTTTGATTGAAACTGAGATGGAAACCGATGGTAACTTCCAGTCATATGATTCGTACTTTATTCAAGACTTGTAAAGTTGTTAGCTCAACCTTTTAAGCTCGCCTATCGCAAAATGACTAGGTGAGCTTTTGTGATCACAATGCGTCTGTCGTTTAAAGGGCATTTCCTCTTAAACCACTAGGCAAATTTCATCAAAACTTTTTTCCCTTAGTTACGTTTTTACTTGAGCACTTTTTCATATACAGTACAAATATGAACTTTGTGATATCTGTTTAAGATTTAGATTTTATACCTGCTTTTGTTTATAGTTTACAATATTACTTATTCCTTGTCATGGAAAGTTTTTATATTCAAAGAAACTAAGTTAGTCATGTCTGTCTGCCAGATATTTTGAATTATGCTTTTTGTGGACTTGGAAAATATTTTGTTTAACTACAAAAGTTGAATCTTGATGCATATCATTGTGATCATGTTTGCTGATTACTGTTCAAGGCCCATAGCTGACGGGGAATATACTAATATATGGATTTGAGATATCACAGTAATCTGGAAACTTCTCTGTATAAGTATCATCAATAAATGCATTGCGCAAGAAAAATTAAATATAAAGATAATGGTTTCTTGCCCTTTGTTGGGTTTTATGCTGATTTTTTGTCCAGAGCATAATTTTAAAAAATTATTTGTGGAATGTCCAATACGTTTAGTTAACATGAAAATTGACCAAGAGCAGTAACTCCAAAATTATTAAAGCAGTATTAATATGATTATAGGAGGACAACACTACTGCTTTAATAATTTGGAAATTATTTGCTCTTATAATTTTCATGATCAAGTTTTGTGCACAACATAATTAAAAGTACTCTAGTTATTAATGGATACTTCATAAGTAGATAGAACTTACCAAGGAGTGAAGTGCATAAGATGATTATAACCATGTCAGCTTGTCTGGCATGTTGCCATCTGTTAGCTTATAAACATTGATCATAAATTTTTAGAAGCTCACCCCAAATGGCTTAGGGTGAGCTTTTAGGATCATTGAATGCCCGTTGTCGGTTCAAATTCAGTTCGTTATCACTCTGGTCACAATTTTATGCTCCCCAAAGGGCGAGCATATAGTTGCTGCTTTGTTCGTCAGTCCACTTTTCTTGTCCTGGACATAACTCTGAAACAACAATAGGTATCAACATGAAACTTTGTAGGTAGGTGTGCAGTGCACAAGAACTGTAACTCTGCCTTGCATAATTTTGGAGTAAATGCCCTTTGTTCATTTTTACACTTTGTACGGGACAAAACTCTGAAATCAACATGAAACTTTGTAGGAATATAGATCTCATTGGGTAGAAGTGCAGTGCACAAGTACCGTAACTCTGCCTAACCTTATTTTTGAGTTCTTGGCCTTGGTTCATTTTTGTGTCGCCTTTTTTCAAGGCGACATATAGAGGATACTTTTGTCGGCATCCCCTAAAGCTTGTCCGGAGCATAACTCTGTCACTAAGTCGGATTGACTTCAAACTTGGTATGCATGCTTCTTTAAATAACCCGAAGTGCAGTGCACAAGGACCGGTACTCTGCACTTCTTAATTTTTGAGTTATTGCCCTTTGTAAATTTTCATACTTTAAATTTGTCCGGGCCATTTCTCTTCAACTATAAAAGCTATGGACTTGAAACTTCATAGGATGATAGATCTCATTAAGAAGTGCAGTGCACAAGAACGGGAACTCTGCACTTCCTAATTTTTGAGTTATTGCCCCTTTTCACTTTATTTTTGTCCGAGCCATTTCTCCAAATGTATAAAAGCTATGGACTTGAAACTTAATAGGATGATAGATCTCATTAAGAAGTGCAGGCGACACATCTGACTCGCGGAGTTCTAGTTACACTTTGAAATTCGTCTGGGACATTACTCTAAATATATAAGATGTATCAACATGAAACTTTGTAGGTAGATGTGCAGTACACAAGTACCGTAACTCTGCCTTGCCTAATTTTGGAGTTATAACTTGATCTTTGTCTGGGACATTACTCTCACCTAACACTAAGAATGATATCAACATGAAACTTTGTAGGTATACTTATACATTATACTTGAACAAAACAACTTTTTGTAAAGGTTTAACTGACCTTTAGCTTTAAATGACATAGACCGTCAAGGTCAAATTACTGAATTCATGTCATATTTTAATAACTTAAGGGCATAAGCCTATGACTCTGAAACCTGTAGGCACATTGGCCATGGCAGTTGATGGTCCCTATCAATTTATGGTCAATGTCACAAGGAGGTTGTGTAAAATACTTGTCTGCTCATTAACTTGCGAAGAAATAGGCCTAGGTTCGTGGAACTTGGTAGGAACATAGTCATTGCCTGTGGCAAGAAGATGACCCCCCTATTACGAGGTCAAGGTCACACTTGTTACTCAGTGGAAAAATCATTGTTTGTTCAATAGCAATGAGGACATTGCCAAAGGCTCCTATCGATTTTGGTGTCATAAGGTCATGGTCCCGGGTCAATAAACTTGAGAAGAATTTATCGGTTTGTAAAACTTGGTAGGGCCATTGCACATGATAAAAAGATGAATTCCATTGTTCTTTAGGTCATTAATTAAGTTAAGGTTACAGTGAAATGTAGTGGAAAATATGTATGCGCTAAATAACTTGAGAAGGAATAATTCTAGTTTGTGAAACTAAGATAAAGTAGGGACATTGCGGGGACCAGTTACTGTAAACTCGTTGTTTTTAGCAAGAATAAGTAGAGCTATTGTAGTCACCCGAGCGTCGGCGTAACCTCTTATGTTAAAGTTTTTGTAATACCTTGAATATTTTCAAAGTCCATGGACATATGGCTTTGAAACGTTGCACACTTGTTCACCATCATGACTCTAGACAGGAGGAGGTATCTGTATCACGTTTGACAGAATTATGCCCCTTTTTCGACTTGGAATTTATATTAAAGTTCTTGTAATACTTCAAATATTTTTAAAGTCCATTGACATATGGCTTTGAAACTTCGCACACTTGTTCAACATTATGACCCCAATCTGTAGACAGGAGGAGGTAACTGTATCAAGCATTTTGACAAGAATTATGCCCCTTTTTCGACTTAAAATTTATGTTAAAGTTTGTGTAATACATGTACCTCAAATATTTTCAAAGTCCATTGACATATGGCTTTGAAATTTTGCACACTTGTTCACCATCCATCATAACCCCAACCTCTAGACAGGAGGAGGTAACTGTATCAAGCATTTTGACAGAATTATGCTCCTTTTTCGACTTAGAATTTTCGTTAAAGTTTTTGTAATACTTCAAATATTTTCAAAGTCCATTGACATATGGCTTTGGAACTTTGCACACTTGTTCACCATCATGACCCCAACCTGTAGACAGGAGGAGGTAACTCTATGGAGCATTACAATTTACATAAGAATTTGTATTTAAGTTTGCATACCACCTCAAACAAGATGAAATTTTATATTTCTCTTTGAGAGCATAATAGGACTCTCTTCAAGGCTTTTAACTGTAACATGGATTTAAAGACAAATTTTGCCCTTTTGTTAACTTAGAAAATATATCATTATCAAGGCTTTTTTACTATCAAGCACTACGAATAGTCGAGCGTTGCTGTCCTAAAGACAACTTTTGTTTGAGGTCAAGGTCAGATTGACAGCTTTATATCTAGACTATGTCCGAACCATAATAGCTGTTTTCTTACTTTTTCTTAAATAGTTTTTTTGACACTAAGATTTTTTAACAAAAATCTGTTTATCAAATTAAGTAACCAATTAATACTAGATTTATTGAACTTTGGGTTCGAATCCCGACAGGAACTTTGGATTCTTTCATGTGAGGAAGCTATCCAGCTAGCTTGCGGAACGTCGGTGGTTCTACTCAGGTGCCCGTTCGTGCCTGAAATAATTCACGGAAGGGCACCTGAGGTCTTCCTCCACCAGTAAAGCTGGAACGTCGCCATAAGACTTATACTGTACAGTACGTGTAGGTGTGACGTAAAAACCCAATCAAGCTCAAACATTGTTCGCTCACATATATGCAATCACTAACAATATGAAAACATGTAATTTTGTATATAGCATGAAATCCATTCATTACACTAACTAAATTTGAGGAAACGATAGGCAAACGTATATAAATCCACAATTTATTACATAGCATGCATTTATACCATTGCAATACTCAATAACATACCTACTGAATTTATTTGTGCAATGGGTTTGCCCTGTTTTGACTTTGGAACAATCCATTTAGTGGGGAATTTTAATATAAAATTTAGCTATCAACAGTCAACACTAGCTAAAAGAGCCCGACCAGACTACGCACAATGTATAGATTGTCCTGGCTCTATACTGGGGGCAAAGAGTTATCACCTCCTGTTCCAGAATTTGAGTATATTTGTATGCATGACTATACACAGTCAATACAATAGCATGCATGATAACTGCAATATACCATTTAACTATAATTATCTTTGACCCATTAATTACTAACCGTTAATGTCATTTGTGTGGATCTTGCCTTACATAGGCTGACCTTACTTTATTTATTCACATGCATGGTATTTTTACTTCATATAACAACATGTATCTTTCTTAATTTTTACCCGGATAATTAAATAATATATAGTTGTTTGGGAACTATTAGCTAATATATTTACGTCAACATTTTATCTTTTATGGTATATATGAAGACCCGAAAATCTCGGATTGTTCCAAGCTGTTAAATTTTGTAACACCTGAGAAGAAACACGTCCATATACCGACCTTCCGCAAATGTATATTATTGCTTAGTACCCAGAAAACAGAAAATCATGTTAAGGACGAGTTAATTCTGGCACTTGGGATACAACAATAGCAAATAATTATAAATTGTCAACTATATCTGTGTAAAAACGGGTAACAGCCGTACCGGGATAACAGCTGATAGAAAATGACGTTCAGGACGAGTTATGGCACTTGGTACAATGCATAATTATTGAGCTTTTAAAGTAAAATACAAACACTTGTTAAAGTACTTGTCAAAATACAGCAATGGCAAATAGTTATAAATTAACATCTACAAAATGTATCATTCAATAACATTGATAAGAATATAAAATGACACATCGATCATTTCTTGATTAATGAACTAAATTAATTACTGTTCAAATCATACATCATGACTGAAGCAAAAACAAAAATCGACTAGCTAAGTTCGGCCACAACTTGTGGCACAAGACATATTAAACGCAAATATCGTCACCTTAGTGGAATAACTGATTAACTTCTAATTAAATTTAGACGGACTTAATCTGTTATTGTACTAATGTGACGATATATTTAGCAAAACACTGATTGATTTATCTTTAATTCAAATAAATGTCAAACTTCCAGTTTTTTGGGTGATTTTTTTTGGACAAAATTCAATTAATTCCGCCTTCCACTGTACATTTCCTTCGCGTATCAGTAATTTCCGCTACTTTTCGGTTAATTCCGTCAAAACCCATGAATCTGGTACCGGAATTGCAGTATGCATAAAATCCTTCATTTCAAATGGTAGTTTTATTGGCAGAGAAACTACTTTCTCAGAGCTTATATCATACTGTAAAATACCCTTCGAGCTTTTGAAACTGTCATCCTCACCACCGAAAATAAACAGCTTGTCTCCAAAATTAGATACCGCAAAACCTTTTGTTGGAGCATTTGAAACGGCACAAACTTCTTTTATATCAACACCGGTGTGCTTGTTGAACTTCAGTTGGTAAATCATTCTGTTATGTACAACATAGACCCGATGACCAACCTTTTCACTGTCGAAACAAACAGCCCCCATCTTTTGCAATTTCGATTTGAATGGAAGAGTTTGGTCTATGTTCCAGCTATATCCTTTACTCGTATCGAAACATTGTATCTTATTTGACGGTTGTCTAGAACTATTTCCGCCAACCAAAGCCCCGCCTAACAAATAAATTCTTTGACCAACAACTGTTGAACAAGCTGCCGCAACTGCATAAGCCAAATTGCCGCATTTCGACCATGTCATGGTTCCGATATTGTACACGTGAACATCCGTCAGGGCTGGTTCTTGCTGCGAAGTCCCGCCCAAAACGTAAATCTTTCGATCAACGGTCCGAAGCTCGGATCTTATACTGTTATCTGGAACTGTACACATATTGTGCTGCTCTCTACCAACTGGCAAAGGAGCCTGATTATCCCACCTCTTTGTGTAATCATTAAAACTCATGAAACCTTTCTGATTTTTAGTGCCACCACTAAGGTACAGAATACTTCCAAGTGAGCAAACAGCATAGCGATGCCCAAGCTCACATTTGTCTGCTTCTAAATCATACCAAATCTTCTTCTTGAAATTGAACAAGGTAAGTCTACTTTCCTCCAATGGGGTCCCACCCACTACAATCAAACATTCATTTGTAGAAATATGCCTGGAACCGACTCCCTCTTCTGCTTGTATCCATAGGTCACTGCAGACAGTTTTCCAAAGTGTTCTAGATGAATCAAGTTTTTCAATATCGACATTTTCTTGCAGAAATTCATCCCAGTCATTTTGGTATACGTCAAGTATATCTTCATTGTCTACGTTCTCGGAAGCAACAAGAGCACTTATCAAATCATTGGCGGTTGAAGAATCAGGGCTTTGTTGAGCTATAAGCCACACCCATGCTGCCTTACATTTTATCTTTCCGCTACAATTGGTCATCTTATCTTGGAGCAGAACTTTCAGGTCTTCGATACCAATCCGGCCAATGCTATCAATGTGACAAAAATCGCTGAAGTTCTGAAGTACAATACTTTTAGCGATTTCAGCAACTTCTAGATTTCTAAACTGTTTAGCTATCTGCCAAACTTCAAGGCTGATATCGTCTTGCATACCCCTGGACAGCAAATTTTCGCAGTCAGTAACAAGTGTAGAGATTTGGAGGTAATTTGCAGCAAAATATATCTGAGCAACATAGTTCTGGTCGGTTATGACATTTTTTCCTGCATAAATATACTGTAAAACAAGATCCACTGTTTCCGCATCAAATGGTAGCGGAACCTGTCCTAGTTGCGTCTCCTGCAAGTAAATAACATATATTATATTTAATATGAATATTAAGAATGTGCCTGACCGAACAACTGCAATTGGTATGGGCAATAAAAGAGCGGGGTTCCTATTTATTGAATCTTAAAGGAACTCCACTGAGGTTTAAAAGCCTAAAAACATAACATTTGAATTTCTTACATAAATGAGCTGGGACACTTTTAACAGAAATATAAGCAAGATATTTAAGAAATATACTTTTGAAATAAATTGAAAATCATATTTTTATGCTTTTGTTTAGCCCTATTTGAGTGGAAAGCATTTAAACGCTTTTCATTTTGGGTCATTTTTTTACAATTTGAATAATTAATCTGGAAAAACGAAGTGCGCGATTGATCTGAAATTTTGCACAAAGATTAGTGGTCTAAACCTACATCAAATTGTACATTTATCTGGAAAAAATATTTTCAGTCCCATCATGTCAAAATACCTCAGTGGAGTTCCTCTAAGATCTTATGATCTTGTTGAAGTATAATGACAAGCAACATTAATTTGACAATTATGGTTATTTCCGGAGGTACATGACATAAAATTATTATCCTTAATTTTAATCAGTGGTTATTAAGTTGTAGTAAATTAATTAGGTAAATTTATAAAATATTGGCCCGTCCCTTTTGTATTATACATATTTTTAAAAGGCTTGAAATTAAGATGAGTCTTTAAGACGAAAAATTATGTATGTTAAATATACAACAATACATCCATTGCATTTACCTGCATTTCAGTTTGGAACATGGTGTCAAAGAACGGCGAAACTGCAGCGAGAACAACCTTATGGCATGGGAAAGTCTTCTGATCATCGGAAAGGACTGTAAAGTCTGTGTATTTCTCAGACAAGCGCTCCTCGTTTAATCCTTTGCTGAACATGTCCCAGTATCGTGACAACCGTGCTAATTCTTGACTATCAACTGGCCGCTTTTTGGCTGTGTGTAGGACTACTGCCATTTTTATCTGTAAGTATTTCAGAGAATCTGGTTCTGTACTTGACTTGTCTTTGTTATTAAAGAAATTAAAATAAATCAGCTAAAGAGACTTCAGCAAACAGGTTTTATAGTACTTCTGGAATAAAAGCGACATATATATAAAGTTATGGAAGCCAGAACTAAAAATAAACATATTATAAGAAAAATGATTCTCTTAGATTAAATTAATACAGATTAAGAGTGAACCTTATTAAATGGTCTAACGTGTATTATATATGGTGTAACAGGTACACATAAAAGAAATGCATGCTTTTGGTTCATTTGTCGGGTCATTAATCCTAAAAATTCTCAATTTTACAAATTTAATAAGATCTACAACTTGAATTTGAATACATTGATTTCTGCAAAAATCTCCGGGAATGATGGGACTGGAGTTACAATTAATGGTGCATTTCATGTTAGGGAATTGGACTTAAGTATTGATAAAAAGCTATCAGATGCAGATCATTCCTTTTTTGATATTCGAAATCGAAAGCGAAAGTAGATATTTATGATGTAAATGTCTATTTATACAAGACAAATAGAATAATTCGCATAATTCAAGCTTGTAATTTACCTGACAATTGATGACTTTTTTAAAATACCTTTAGTCTGGTTATTTAACGGCAACTGCTATATTGAAAGAAACTCCAGATATGTGCGCAGATTAACTGTTTTCTGGTAGGATCAATGAACCTTGAGATAAGTGAGTTGCACCGTCTAAAGAAATTTGAGGTAAACAAAAGTTTTAAAACCCGATTAACTAAGTAATTAGATTTAACAAAATCTTAGTTTATAAATCACCCATTAAGGACGCTATATGTATATTTCATGTGTTCAATTTCATTTTTAAACAGAGAAAAGGGTTGTTTCTCGCTCATATGTAAGTGTAGTTAGCAAATCAAATTAATTTAGCGTTACATTTTGTGGGTGGGGTACCCGACCTATAAACAGCTGATCGATCTTCAATGACGGGGTATGGTAAAATGATTTTTATTATTTCTGTTACGACAAGAAATAATATTAAAAATCAATGTAAATAATAAGTTTCGGAGAAATTAAATATGCTATAATAATAACTTAGTGTTGCAAAATTAATGGTATCCCTGTACAAAACAAGATTGTGACTTAAAACCTGCTACATGTACATTTGAATATCATATCAAGTCTTAGTTATGTCTCTTGCAATTTCAGAGCAGTTATAGACCAAGATGGCTGCCAAACATGATCATTGCGAATTCTGTCACCGAATGAATTGTATGGTCAAACCAGATGACATCACTTCATGCTCACTAGTTTACTGCCAAGCAGGGTGTGGCTCACGATTTCATGGTTGTAAGAGCCAGGATCACAAGAATATTTGTTTGAAAGAAAAAGTACAATGTATAAACCATATAAATGGCTGCCCTGTTGAGCTAACTAGAGAAAAATTATCAGAACATTTACCAGTATGTCCAGCAAGTGTGGTGCTATGTCCTAGAGAATGGAATCGCTGGCCAATGCATTCGCAGGACAAAGGCTGGAAAGCCCCTATGCCTTTCAAAAACCCTCATGTAAAATGTGGTCAAATTGATGTTGCCTTTGCCATGAGGGATCAGAAAATGTTAATGGAATCATTCAAAACACCTCGGAAAACGAGAAGAATATTGCGGAATGCCATAACTCAGTGTTACCCAGCAGTGCCTATTCAGTCCCACTCAAGTGTTCTTGATAGCCCCACATCAGAAACTTCGCAGGTGTCCGATGATGAGTCGGGAACTCCCTGGGATCTTACAGAGCCCCCTGCAGGGCTGATGCAAACCATATCAAATCAATTGTCTAAAAATAGCTCAAAGCAATTGTATGCCGCTTCAAAACAAACTACTGAAAGTTTAACTAAAGCTTTAGATTATGTGACTGGTAAACAAGGTCTTAAGCGTTTAGCGGAAATTGCAAAAATGAAAGAGATATCGAGCAATGCTAATGAAGATGTTGAGAATCTAGATAAAACATTAAAGACAACTAGTATACAGGACTCTAATAAAAGCTCAAGCGATAAACCTTATATGCAAAATGATTACTCCTCAGCCGTAGCCAGTAACAACGAAGAAGAAGACGAGCTAGGAATTTACTATACAGAGAAAAAACTGTTTGAGATTCTCGGTCTAGATCTAAGTATGCATTTCATATCATCGTATCAAGCAAAGCCGTTGAAAATGTTCACATTTCTTTGTGGTAGGGAATTTAGAAGAGACGAATATCCTTGGCATGTGAAGAACTACCACTCTGATATACAGTGCAATTTGAATAACTGGTTTGAACAACGCTGTCCCCTGTCATATCTTGGATGCACTTTTGCTTTTGAAAGGTTTAAACCAAAGAAACCAAGTGGTTCGATTGTACACAGTGCCGTTCTTCAAAGTCTTGGATTGCGCGATGGAAACGAGTTTGAGACAGACAAAGACCATATAACAACGAATTTTACAGAAGATGAAGATATTCGTACAACTGCTGGACGAAGACGTCTAAGGGAGGCTACCCCGGAGATACTCACCTCATTGAAATGTGATTCCACAATTCGTGTGATTCCTAGATACAAATCAGAGTCTCGGGAAGTGTCGCCTGTTAAGCTTCAAAGAGACTTTGATGGAAGCTTGAATTCATTGACAGACCTCCCATTTGAAGTATTGCAAAACATCGCACGGAATTTAGATAGTTTTAGTATCCAGCATTTGTCGATGACCTGCAAACTTTTGCAGAGTGTGTGCTGTAGTCTTCTTGATGAACGGGGAATTGTCTCCCTTGTCTGGGAAAAGAGAAGCCCTGAAGAATCGGGGTCGCTGTGGAAGATAGCTTACAAGGTAAAAACTTATTTTTGGTCATGCTCAAAATCAGATTTTAAATTGCTTAAAGTGTCTTTGTTTGTTCTGTGGTGATTTTCTACTTCTTTTTTTTCTTTTTTTCTTTCTGTCTTGAGTTCATTTTCTTGTAAAGGTTTCTCCCTTTCAAAGATCTGTGACTGGAGTTGTTTCCCCTTTATTTTTACTTATCTTTTTTTATCATTCCCATATAACTTTTAGAAATAATGAAGAAAAATAGTAATGGGATATTTTGTAACCCTGTAAATGCAAGCAGTAATAATGACAGCACAAACCAACAAAGAGCACAATCCTAGCTTTTGTATCAATGAAACTGAAGTTAACAGTTTCTTCTGTTTGGCTGCTTAATTTCAGCATTTTTATATCAAAATCCTTAAAATTTACAATGAATTGTTAAATTACAATTTCGGTTTATATTTGAATTTAGCAAGTTTCTTTAAGTGTAAAAGTCTGACTTATGTAACCTGCCAAATGATACCAATATTTTGCTTGGTTATCAATCAGGTAACTGGTAACACTGAATATTATATCGGTGTTTTTTAAAAAGCAGCCAGTTTGGCATATGTGCAACTCTTCCTACATTTCCAAAAGTAATTTCAACCAAATTTCATCTATATGTAGAACCCTTACCGGCTTATGCATATTATCAAGAATTTTTTTGCAGAGTTATGGCCCTTTTTTTTCACTCATAATTATTTCATGTGTATCATGTAATATTGGCTAAAAAATATGGTTTTGTGACAATTTTCTGTGCTTTGTTTTAATGAATGTAGTTGTAAAAATGTTGATTTTTATGGGTTTTTTCTGCTCCATCCTTCAGTATATGCATGTACTGGTATTTTACCAGTATAAAAATGACTTACAACCTTGGGTCCATTTATTCTAGATTACAGACACATTCATTGAACCATAAAAAGAAATGAAGGTCAAACATAACATTTAAGGTCAAATGCAACATTTTATGTCAAACTAAGCAGTTTATGATTGTAACTTTAGTTCCAGGGCAAGGATCTAAATAAGTTGTGCAAGAACATGTAAAATAATGTATAATGGACAAACTTCAGACTTGTATATTTAAAGTAAATGCAGTCCAACCCATAGAAGTCATTCATGCATCATGGTTTTAAAGGGACTCCACTGAGGTTTTTGACATGACGGGACTGGAAATATTTTTCCAAGATTTGTGTACCATTTGATGTAGGTCTTGTCCAAAAACTTGTGTACAAAGTTTCAGATCATTCCCTCTCCCCATTTTCCAGAATATTCAATTTTATTATGCAAAATCATCATACACAAAAATGAAAGCACTGCAACACTTTCCGCTCAAATTGGGCTAAGCATCCTGCAAAAACTCAATTTACAGTGTAATTCTTGGTATATTTTTTTTAATTTCCTTTGCAGATTTTTCCATTTTAAACGTATCACATGATCTATGCAAGAATTTCAAACTTTATATTTATATGCTTTTTGACCTAAGTGGAGCTCCTTTAAACTTTGAATGTTTTGTTACTTTATCTTTTCTTTACAGAAATGGCAATTTAGTACATCATTTAGTCCTATACATGAATGGGACTTCAAAGAGACAGGTTCTCCCATACATGACCATCTTAAAATATGCCCATATAATCGTCCCGTAGATAGAAATATGAAAGAGGAACCGTTCCAGATGATTTATGACTTTTGCAATGGTCAGCCCCGGTCCCATGGTCAAGATATGTTTAATGAAAGGCAGACTAGGCATGGAGATAAAAGGTGGGTACCAACCTCTTTTGAGGAGTTAAAACAGAATTCGTAGGTCAAAGGGCAAGATAATTGTTGAATCGTAAACATAATAATTAAATTCTGTATCTGAATAACTTTGAAAATCTAGTCATTTTCTAAAACATTCTGTTTAAATTATACATGCATTTACTATGTGCTAAGGATGCACTTCTCAGTGGTTAAGTAAACAATTTTAACGTTTCAATAATTATATTGATGTACTAATAATAATGAAAGCCAATATTCATGTTTGATTTTTAAATAACTATGTACTCAAAGGATGTTGGTACTCACTTTGAACGTATTTTTGGTCTGATTTCATGATTTTAAATTTTAAGCTGTTATTTAAGAGAACGTCCCAGTGGTTTATAAGATTTTAGACTCAATATCAACCAATGAGTGATGGCCTTTCATGAAGATAGATTGCGGGGGTTTGTTGTCATTATTAAAATATTCTTTTTCTTTCTTTCACCTGTGTTATTTTGTTGAGTGATTCCGAAGTAGAGAATTCCTAGTTGGTTTTATACAAATATATACATGTATGTCATTAAAGGAGCTCCTATGAGGTCAAAAAGTCTAAAATTTTAAAATTTGAAATTATTACATACATGTAGATCAACTGATGCACTTAAAATGGAAAATATCCAAACAAAAATAATGATTAATGATAATGATAATAATTAAATTTTCATTTTTGGGTCATATTGCACAATAAAAATGATTATTCTCAAAAAAAAATAATGAGGAAATTATCTGAAAATTTGCACACAAGTTATTCATCCAGAACTACAAATGTACAACAAATCTCTAAAAAATATATTTCCAGTCTTGTCATGTCAAAAAAAAAACTCAGAGGAGTCCCTTTAAAATCATTTTTAGATCTTGCTTACCATTTGCTATCTTTTAACAGTCTTTTCTTTTATTTCTCAGAAATGGCAGTTCAGCGTAGGATTTCAACCGGTCAAGCAGTGGCATTTAAATGACAACAGTTCTAGTGCAATAGCGAATCACTTGAAAGTTTGTGCATTTAACAGTGATATACATAAGAACACCCATTTTGATATTGATGGGCTAAAACTGGTTCATGATGTTGAACAAGTGGAGGGTATGAGTAGAAAAGAACTGATGTGTAAGAAAAGGGAAGCAAGAAAATCGCTGGAGTGTGGAAACAGACCTTCTCATTATAGAATACATGTATATTGACCTCAAGATGGAAAAGAGTTCATTTTAAAAAGTTATTTTTAGGTCCTTAACAAATTTTTTTTCAATTGAACATATACTTGCTGCTTTGGCTATTCTTTAGTTTGCAACTGTCCTTAAAACTTCATATAATGTAGTTACTTCCTGATTCTTGTTTTATCTACATCTATTGACTAATATCTTTTATTTTAAGGTCACTTCTATTTAGGTCAAGGTCACTGCTAAAAATACGTTTTTCTACTTTTCTTTATAAGGTCATATTTTCAGTTTTGGAAAAGTAATATTTATGTTTATTTCAAATATACAGGTTCACGGTATGAATGTTTTGTTATGAAACTTAATTTCATAAGGTATTCGGAAATAATAATTGTTTTACTATCTAGATATTAGGAAAATCTAGGTCACAGGGTCAAGGTCACTGACACTTGGCACAAAATAGTGATCTGCTACTCGTCATAGAGTTTGTAATAATCTTGCTTTACGGAGCACAGAAGTAATGCAGTTAAAATTTTCATGAATGTGATTCATTTAAGGGCCATCATTGGCCTTTTGTTTCAAGTTGCTGGGCAATATTTCAAAAAGTTATGTCTAACAAGTAATTTTTCATTAATAAAATATATCGGAACCATTTTCTTTTCCATGGTAACTACACTAGTACTTCCTTTTTTTTTTCCGTAAGGTTTCTTTTTAAAGTTTAAATGTATACAGTAAGATATTTGAAAAAAAATAAATAAAAAAACAAAACATGAAATAATCATCAATCTGGGAACAATTGCAAAGTATTGCTATGGTTACTATTAAACTTGCTGGGTATTGATTTTACAAGAAATTCTTATCTTGAAAGTTGGTTATTAAAAAAGGATATATTAAAAAAAGAATTATACTTTAATATTTTAAGAAATACCAAATACGTTTATATAGATTTTTGCATAATTTGAACTTCTTCTTTTGCTCATTCAGTACAGTATTTTTTAGAAATTGATAATTTGACTTCAACTTTTGATCTTAAAGGGAGACACAGGCAAAGTTTTCATTTCTTAGTTTTGAAATTTTCATTCATTATTCTGTAAATGTCCTCAAAATGAATACACTAAACAGTCAAAGGAACAAAACTTTTCTCCATATAAAGAATAAAATGGTGTTTTCCTAACTTGACCCGCGTGGGTCAGGTTAGAGCGCTAAAATTTCACAATAGTTGTCACTCTGTACTCTGGAAACGTTAAAAAACATGTCAAATCAATTACTTAGACTTGTTTCAATCATACAATATCCACAATATTTGTTATTGTAACTTCCAGGGTTTGTTCAAATCGCATGACTTGTTTTTAAACTATTCGGTGATTCTGTTCGCGTCAAAATTTCGTTCAACATATATAGATATATTTAAACTTCAAACCCAAAATATATAGAATTTATACAGAAATCCATGTTGGGACTTTAAGAAATGTCATTTTAGGGTGATTTGAGTACAGAAAATCATTTTTATATTTTTGCCATTATTTTGCCTGAATATCCCTTTAAATGGGTTCAGGTACCCCAATTTTGCAACTGTCTTTGTCAAATTTTATCAGGCCAATAGTAGTTTTGTTTAAACTAATAGCAATCTGTTAGTAATGGGAAAAATTGATAAATATTGCATAATAAAGAAATGATATTAAATGCAGTATTGTAATAATGCATATTAATGTTGAAATATAAAGAAAAATGTGCTATTAAATGCAAAATATGCAAATAATTGATTTTTTATGCCATTTACATTAATTTCTTATGTGTATTCCAATAGGACTCCAGAATTAAGAATATTTTGGGCGTTTTATTTTTCTTTCTAGCTATGGATTCATAGGTACAAACAAACTTTTACAGATAAGTGCAATAGGTTGATTATTGTGACAGGTAGTGCACTGTGAAGCTGCTATAATGGTAAAAGTTTGTTAGTACCTCTGGATTAGATGGGGAAAACCCACATCTTCTGAGTTCCGGATAACATCTATTTAAATTTGTTTTTACTTCATAATAAGGGTATTGGGTAAAAACTAAAATCAAATCCCAGATGGTTTGTCAAAATTCGGGAAAATTTATACGTTACTGTATAATGATGATGTGATGGAAGTATAAATTATTTGTTTTGCACACTGCTGCATATTAAATGCTAACAATATGGTGCCAAATATAGATGTGTTGATAATTCATGTTTATTTCAGAGAGTGTGTTCATAGTAACTGTTTACTAATAATTAACAGTCCCCGCCCCTTTCAACGATGATTTTTAAAGACATTTTTTATGACATTATCACCAAACAAATGTGATTTATGCATTTACATAATATGTTCTTTATTCCCATTACTACACCAACTTTGTATGCATGCACCTACACCTTTGCATGATTGAACTCAATGCATGTATACACCCTTTGCATATATACGGTACATACACACACACCCCTTGCCTTCACATTCCCCATGCCCATTCCTCGGCCCCCCCCCTCCCCCTCCCCCTGTGATCATATCATTATATTCTGTGATTATATTTATGTTGTATTTGTGTTTTTTAATGTTGAACATTATTTGTGTGACAATTGTGTTTCGGTGTTATAGTCCTGTCTTAACACCATAACAAAATCAATGTCTCGTGTTAAGACAGTTTGGATGATACTTTTTCACTGTAATATTGGCTAGCCAGAAAAGCTTGGTAACTTGGAATTGACTTAACATGGATTGGTGAATTCAAAGCTATAGAATTCACACTGTCTTCCGTGATGAATTGTTTTACGATAGAACTTTGTATTTCGAATGGCATTTGTCAATTACTAGTTTTAATATACTGTGAATTAACTAAAGTTTTATGGCATGAAATTTCGCTATTTTTTTTTTAAAAAGGACATTTTTGTTGTTTTAAATTTGTGAATTGACTGTTTTTGCACACAAAAAAAGTGAATGCAAAAAATGTATTATAACTAATAGTGCAGTAGATGCTATAAAATTTTGTTAAATGTTAATTTTGTGGACTGACCTATCCACGAAAATTAGTGCCCTGGGAATAATAACGATTTTGCAGAATTTATGTTTGGTCAAATATTGTACCCACTGCCCTTTGAGTATAAAGCAGAATAATTGTTACATGTTCCGTATTATACATGTACATGTTATATATTTGTGTATTTATCATTGTTTATGTTATAGATGGGTTGTATAAGTCATAATTTGTAATGTCAGTGTGAAAAAAAAACTGTTTATAATACTCAAGTTTATTTTGTTACATTTATATAAGTTTTTTTGTCTTATATAAACCCTTAGCTTGCAGTTTACTGCTGAATCTTCCCATGTGATCAGTGCAGACAAAGATCAGACAACACATCTGTGCCATCTGGTCATGGTCTGCACTGTTTGCTACTTAATCAGTTCTTATTTTAGAATTTTCCCTAAAAATGATGAATGGTTTTGTCCAGATTGAGAGATGGACAAGTCCATTTAGGATATTTAGAGTGGTTAGGGTTATACAATGATATAAGTTATTGTTATGTTATGTAATGGATAAATTGATTTTTTTTTTTTTTTTTTTTTTTTTTTAAGCCCAAGAAGTAACTCCGTTTAATGTCCCGTAATAGGTAAAATAGGGTCGGAGATCCATTCACTATTTTACCTTACAATTTAATTTATTGAAATGTTATAAAAAACATAAGGGCATTATATACATGTTACATATTAATGGTAATTTATATTAAAGACACATCAAGAACTACTTTAATTTTTCAATGTTTAATCACATCGATACATAACTTGATTTTTGAAATGATGTTTTTATGCTTCAGATCTATTCAAACCTACTTTATTTTGTTATCTGTAAATGATTTTTTAAAGGTCCATCACCCTTTAAAGACCAAAAAAATTGATGTTTTTCTGTTAACTGTTACTATTGTTGTTTGCGTTACCATAACATATCTGGAAAAAAACCTACCAGTGGTGCTACTAGTAACAAAGTAATGTTGTTTAAAGCGTACTAGTGACTGTAAATAGGCCGCGTCAAAACAAAACCAACATAATAGGTTTGCGACCAGCATGGATCCAGACCAGCCTGTGCATCCGCGCAGTCTGATAAGGATCCATGCTGTTCGCTATCAGTTTCTCTACTTGTTATAGGGTTTGTAAACGAACAGCATGGATCCTGATCAGACTGGTTGCAAACGCATTATGTTGGTTTTGTCATGACGCAGCTCAAATATATTTTTCGCAGAGATTTATATCATTTCCATGTTTGAATTTTCTAATACAAACCCATGCTGGTGCTACATTTGTTGACTGGTTAAGATTGCCGATTTGCTTCTCACCCTATCTTGTCTGTGTCTAGAAAAAAATAGGATAGATTTGTAAAAGTGATAAGAAAATAAAATAAAGTTCAGCCTTTGGAAAACAATATTATATATGATTTAAGACACCTTTGAGTTTTAAAAACTGCAGTCTGGGATCTAATTGACACTTTTATGAATAACTTATGAACATGGAAGTATTTCTTTAAACATGATCAGTAAAAGACTCATACTTTTTTATACACTATAAGTATACAAATTTACAAAATTAAATTTTTTTTCAGATAAGTTTTTTTGTGATAAAAGGCTGTAAGTTTAATGCATCTTACATACAAATAAGGATAAATTTTGAAAAGGAAAAGTTACTGTCACAAAAAATTAAACTGGGAAATGTGATTCTTGAAATAGGGATGTAAAAGCTTTTCACTTAAGTATTGATTCATCACATGTAACCAACACTTCTCCTTTTATTAAAACTAACACATTCAAGCCATACTGTATTATGTAAATTGATAGTGTTACCTGTCTCATTTTCTACTTCCTGTTTAACCTGTAACTGTTTAAACATATTTACTGATAAAATGTGATACCCTTAAGTATAAGTTTTCATAAATTTGAACTTTGAATTTAAATTTGTAGGAGATATATCATTTTCTAATATTTTTTTTCCCCAAATATCTCTATGCAGCTGACAAGGCTTACAGTTAACTTTAGTTTTTTGTTCATTTTTTATTTTTAATCAGCACCCGCAAATGGTGAAATAATTTTTCGTTTTTAAATTTATTTTATGTGAAATGAAATTTTACGTTTTTTTTTTCGTTTTTTTTCTCTTTTTTTTCTCTTTTTTTTTTCTTTTCTTTTTTTTTTATGTGAAATAGGAAAATTGTCTGATATAATTATAACTAATAGCTTTTGAATTTTATATCACAACTTAAAATGATATTTTATGAAAAGTACAACTTACTACAATAACTAACTATACTATAGTCAAAATAGTTCTATTTCTATGTACATGTATGAATATTACTTCAGAAATTTTGGAAAGGAATTTAGATTTTTCAAAAATTTAAGGGAGAAGAAATAAAAGTCTTCTTTTAAAAGGTAAACTAGGCATATTTTTTTTTTTTTGCCTTCAGTTTAGCTAAATGAGTGCCTTTTCATCTAGAATGTATAAAATGTCAGTTCTGCGAACAAAACATGAGGAAAAAATCTAAATATAGAATCATAATGTTAGTATCCAGGGGTTATTAATTATTCAAGTATTGATTGAACAAAATGTACATGACATTAAACATGTACATGATTGTTAGCTTATAAACATAATGAAACCAGGAAATACAATCTTGTATACATGTATTATAATTGTAGATTCACACATACATGTAGGTATTGTCACTTTAGTGCAGAAACGGGTCCACTCCTTATATAATCCAATAGGAGTTAACCCGTTAATGCAATAAGGTGATGATATCACAGTTAGACTAGTGGCTCAATTTGTTTGGGAGTTGAATGTATGATTATGGTCATATATCAATCTATGTGTAAAATTTATAAAAGTACATTGTCATATCATAAAATCTAACATGTCACTTTTTCATAATATAGATTTATATTACTGAGGTGTCATATTATAAAATCTAACATGACCTAACACTTTTTCATATAGAGTTATATTAAAGGAACTCGTCTGAGGTCTAAAAGGCGAAGAAGAAAAAATTGGAATTTCTTACATAATATCAATTTGGACACTTCATAAGGACAGATATGCAAATTATAACAAAGAAATATACCTGCAAATTATTTGAAAATCATATTCTTGTGCTATTCTTAGCCCAATTTGAGTTTAAAGGATAAAACACTTTTCATTTTTTGGTCATTTTTCACAATTAAAAAGATTAATCTGGAAAAAAATGTGACCAAATGATTTGACATTTTACATGAGTTATTGGTATAGATCTTCATCAAATTGAGTGCCAAAGGGCCGTAACTCATATGAATAAAGGAGTTAAAACCCTTTCACACAAAGCTGTTGAAATGGTATACAAATCTTGATAAAATATTTCCAGTTCTTTAACATCAAAAAACCTCAGTGAAGTTCCTTTAAATAAACTTGTCTCGTGAAAAGTTTTGAAAAGCTAGACTTTGGTCACCTCTTGAACGTTTCTGAGATAGGTTTTGTCTAAATGAAATGATAAGAAATGTTGGATTCTAATAATTCATGAAATAATTAAGCTAGAAAATGCCGAAAAAATTACAAAATTTGTCTTCCACAGACCGGTTTTATCTCTAAAACTTGTATAATGTATAGAAATGGAGAAGAATGGTTACATTTCATTGAGCACAAGCTACGTTATGTCGATGATTTTTTTTTTTGATTACTGGGCAGGAACCAGTTTCCGGACAATACCAGTTTCCGGACAAGTATTATAACGGCTTAATTTTGGCTTTATCGATGACGATCGGTATTATGTGTCATGAAGATGCTTGGTTTTATTGTTTGAGAAAATAAACTTCCTTCCAAGTTGATACATCATTAAAATTTCGTGAGGATATCTTACCTGTGTTTTAAAAACAGTTTATATATCCCTTTGGGGCATGTAATTTGTTCTGCGCATGCGCAATATTTTGTTTATTTCGGGATATAATTTGGGGTAGCAATTAATGCACAATGTACTTCATTCGAAGTTCATTGGGTGTAATTCCCCAGAGCTAAATCTGTAACGTATCGGAAAACGGTGTTTAGCTAGGTTTACTCCACTTTCGCACTTCTTTGCAGCCGTACACACAAAAATATTCGTTTCACTTTTCAGTCATTCCGAGACCCAACACGTGATCGTTATTTTCCCTATCATAAACATTTTTCAGTAAATCAGCTTAATTATATAAAAAAACTAATATGTGAGAAGAATTTTTTTGTTATATTAGAATAATTATCAGTTAAAAACAGATATGAATAGCAGCTTAATATATGTCCGGAAACTGGTTCTGCAAGAGTGAACAATTTACACTTTTGATGACCTAATTTAACCCTTCAGTTTGTACATTGCTTACGTCACCAGGCAGTATTAATTGTGTTATCGGACGTAGTTAGAGCTTAGGTTTTTGGTATATTAGTTTTATTAATGCATGTGTATTATTAAAAAATAGACAATTAAAAAAACTCGAATTCTGTCCGGAAACTGGTTCCTGCCCAGTACATTAAAATTAATTTGAAATATTTTTGTTTTTCTATTTATAATTGAGAAAAAAATCAATTTCAAAAGTATACAGTCATACTGAATTAGAAAAACAAAACAACAAAGGTGTGTTCTTTTGGGGGATTTTTTCACTTCATCTTATTTCACAAAATTATTGTCAAAGTTTAAATTAAAATTATTCATAAATGTGGGTTGTTTCCAATGTATTAATATGATTCTTTCGTGTTATTGATTATTTTGACAATTTAACACATTAAACATGATTTTTAAAACAACATGTTTACATATTTTATGAGGATTTTTTTTTTAAGATAAAATTTTCCTCCATATCTATTTATCAAGGAATCAATACTACATCACCCCAGCTGTATGTTATAATCAAGCTGAGTTATTTCCCTTGTCATTGTGTACAAATTTTTTAGTTGCCTAGTGACAGATGTTGGGTAGGCTCTTTATAACTTCCGAGAATTTGATTGATATTTAAAATCAACAATTTAACTGCTCATTAAAATTTATTGCCTTTTAAACTGCTGTTACACTGAAGCAGTATAGACCAGTTAACGTTGTGATTTGAATCATAACTTTACCTTAAGGAAGAGAATATATTCTATTTTTGTTCAAAAATTTAAACGTGAAAATATTCTAGAGTAGTGGTTAAGGTGCCTGCAACTCAATCCCGCAGACTGGCTTGTCTCAGATTTTTGTTACAACTTAGTATCTGTGTTTGTGTATTTGAGTTTATTTATACTCGCCACCATTTGCCAATATTGGCAAATCCTCCAGAAGAGTATTAGTCATTTTATATTTTGGAGGATAGTGCAAAATACAGGTACAGAAAGATGCCTCAATTCCAGAAACTTCCCCTGCTTCTTTAACGGGACCTCAATTTAAAGTGCCATCCAAAAGACTGATTAGTAATTTTAGTTGGCCAGCCCGGAAATTGAACCCACAATGTCAAGATTACAAGTCTGACTCTCTAACCGATTGAGCTATGCAGGCTGACAGAATCTGTAATTGCAAGTCTTCCTTTTAACCCAGGGATAATGGGCTCATGTCTGACTAAGGTCAGAACCATGTTCCCTCAGATGTCACCGGCACTAGTTAGTCCGCACCCAACCCAGGGATAATAGTACATCAGTTCTAGTACATTCATAAAACTTACCTGGGGTTGTTTTTCATTGTAAATAAGCTTACTACTATGTCTCATTGAATAACGTCAAATAAATTATATTTGGCCATCATTCTAAATGTAATTGATCTTGCTGACATAATTGTTCAATATAGTTACATATTATCTGTTTCTACTATAAATAATAGATGTGCAAACAAATGTATAGAACTATCAATTTCCCAGCTGCTCTTGTCAATGAAAAGTAAAAATTTATTTAAAATTGATCAAACAGTAATTTTTTTTAAAATTTTATATAATACAATGTATCACACAAAAAAGTTTTACTGATATTATTTTAATTTGTTTCTTAGTGAATAATAGAAGTGCAATGATATTTATTTAATCCACTTAGAATTGATTCCTGTTTTCTCACTTTTGAATAAATAAAAAAAAATATGAGACACCTGTATTTCCTTCCTAGACCTGTAAGGAACATTTTATAACATTATTTCATTTGTCCAGTTAAAGACATTTGAATTTAATTTTACCTATCAGATCATTGTTGGTCTTATTATGTTTCCATATAGATTTTCTTGATATTTTTTTCAATGATGACTGGGAGTGGGGTAGAGTACGATTGGGGTTCACAAGGAATCAATTCAAAATGGATTCATGCTCATACATCTATTGTATACCTGATATGCAGTGTTCATTTTATAATTATTTATTGTATCTATGCAAGAGGTAGGAAAATAAAAAAAAGTTAATATCTTCAAATTATATTTTCTTGTTCTTTTATTATTCCTGAAAAAAGTACCACTGAGACTGCCAATTGGTTATGAATTATGCCCATCACAAATATGAGCCGCGCCATGACAAAACCAACATAATGGGTTTGCGACCAGCATGGATCCATGCTGTTCGCTTACAAACTATAACAAGTAGAGAAACTGATAGCGAACAGCATGGATCCTGATCAGACTGCACAGATGCGCAGGCGGGTCTGGATCCATGCTGGTCACAAACCCATTATGTTGGTTTTGTCATGGCGCGGCTCAATTATTAAGTCTCGCATTAAAATCCCATTATTCATGTTGACTGTAAGATCAATTCCAATTTCTTATCTGACCTTGGACCTTTACATGACCTTGGTCAAAAGGACCTGAATTTTATGCACAACATACCACACAAAGAGAACATTTGTATAGATGATATCTTTTACTATCCCTCTTGTTCATGTAGAAATTTCCTCTGACCTCTTTAAGTGTGACCTTGACCTTTGACCTGGTTTATTTGTGCAAGACTACATGGTGATGGTGGATATTTGTGTCAAGATTTCATATTATATCAACCAAGATTATGCATGCAAGACTCAGTCTCACCATCGTGAACAATTTTGTAAGATACACAGATTTTCATCTCGCCTTGATCTGGACTGCAGGGACCAACATTTTGTGCATGACATACCATCTCACAATGGTGAACATTTTTTCCAGGTTACATGGTCAAAGTTGCTGATTCAATATCACTTACCTACACACCTCTGCTGGAATATTCCTACCAAGTACTCTCTTATACGCAAACAATCTATCCCGGCTAGCTTATAGAATATGAAATTTTTCACAGAATGGCATGGAAGAGCCACAGTGAAAGTTCCATAACTAAGGCCATTTTTACATACTTGCAGAGGTATGTTTCAAAGCTTAATGCCATCTTCATGTTCAAATGTTGGGGACTGGCCTAGGGCTCAAAGAAACCAAGTCTGCAGCATTTTTAACTTTGTTGTATTGGATGGTTGTCATGGTTTCCATTTTGACAGATGTCATAACCACAGCTTGCATTCATACAATTCAACTTAATAAGTAATCAAAACACAAAACAATGCATAAAATTTCAACATTTTTAATCTGCACATATGTTTTGATAATGCACAATAATAGAGGTGGGATCACTATATGTCATAAAATGCTACAAAAACGAACAATATATTTTTGGCAAAATTCCAACAGATTCCTTACCATCATGATTATCAATGTGTTTTCCATTGTTAAATATATCGAGGGTTGACTGCAAAACTGCAGTAACTTATTTGATATAAATAAAGACTTACAATAGTTTTGCGATCAACCCTTGATATATGCAACACATTCTACTATTACATATTTTCTACATACTTTTCTTTCATACTCAAAATAAAGAATAACTCCTGCAAGATACACTATTCAGTAAACGACCATCGTCAATTACCCACAGAATTTTTTCCACGGGTGACCAACAATGTTAGTGAACACAATACCACAAGACCTTCGATCATAACCCTGGTGAATTAATGAAATAAGACTAGTCTAAATTTCAATATGGCACAGTCTGTTAGTAAGTTACAGGTATTTCAGCATCAGAATACTAAATCAGGATACAGTCTGGACAGATAAGTAGGCTGACCTGGCTCTATTCTTGTGACATTGACCTCTTATTACTTTAATTATTGCCAATATTTCTTAAGGGGTTAAAAGGGAGAAATCGAATAAATATTGTTTTATGGATGAAATTCAAAACTAATGACTAGAAATTAAACTTCTGTTCAATGCTACATAAGATGATTTGCTATACCTGTGACATGGGTATGACTGTATATATGTTAACCTTTTCTACACTAAATATCTTACATGGACTCGTCCATCTTTCAATCGGGACACAACCATTTCTCATTTTAAGGGACAATTTTCATAATAAGTACCCACTGAATAGCAACCAGTGCAGACCATAATCAGACGGTACGGACATACTGACTGATCTCAGTCTGCACTGGTCGCATGGGTAAAATCAGTAGCCACGAGCACTCTTAAAGTTAAAACAGTCTACCTTAATTTTAATTTGTTGTCTTGACCAGAACAGCTGGTGTTGTTTTGTGTTTAACAACAATTTTTAACAGACAGCAAAAGTATTTAAAATTTCTTTAAAAAATACTTTCCAGAATAATTTTTCATACTTTAGCATAATTGTTAAATTCAGTATCTTGCAATTTACAAATAAAACTGTAAATTTCACACAAAAACAAAACAGTAGAAAATGTAGAGAAAAGTTATGAATTTCATTAGATTATCAACAGGGAATATAACTTGAAAGCTGTTACAATACAATCACTTGCTAAGTCTGATTGCCTACATCAAATATCATAATATAGTTAACACACTCTGGATATATAGATATATCTTCCATTGTAATCAAATATGGCTAAAAAGAACTGTTTTGTTTTGCCATTTAACATAAATCTAAGCTACCAGCACTTTTTATACAAATCACATTCAGGCTCGTGTATTAAAACATTCACAACAAATATAAAGTGACATGCACCCGCACTGTTAAAATTTTTGGTATACCTTTTTTTACTTTTAGTGAAAAAATTCCCTACTTGGTAGGTATATATTTTTCATTTTTAGTCTCAATATTATTTTTTTTGCTTCAAACTTTTTATTACACTCATACCAAAATTGATAAAATATTCACTTGTACCAAAATTGATCAAATATTCAGTTAACTTTAGCCACATAAAAAAAAATTTTTTTTTTTTCGTACTAAAATTGTGTCTACATAAGATTTCATTGCATTTTTCATTCACGATCGAAGGATTAAATAAATCAATAAGAAATAAATCTCTGGGCATATATAAAAATTTTAATGAGTCCATCAAACGTAATACAAACCATTATTTTGAATATACCAAAATCAGTACACAAACTTAATTGACGCTGTTTTTATCTTCCGTATAACAATTTAATTGTCCGGAATACACACCCAAGTACACACACACAAACGTAACATACATATAACATGCATACAACACATATACATTATGTTAATAACATACTGTTGTCACACCTCAGTGTAAAGCCTGATAAACAAATGAAAGACAAAATGTTTCATATTCAATCTAAATGCATATCTAACTTTGATCTACAAAGATTATTAGTGTTAATTAGTAAACAACAGCTAGTTCATTGAGTATTTCACATTTACAACCAATGAAATAAAACAAGAAAATTGCCCAAAAAAATTAGTTTTCTAACTTTTCATTATTTTTGGCACAAATTTCTTGTAAAGGACAATTTTCAATACGTAAAAAAAATAAATAAATCTAAAAGCGAATTTCCTAAGTTCTCCATTAACTAAAAGTTATTTTTATGCAGCATTTTACTGGTGTTAGTAGTTTGACTGTTTAAAAAAGTTTTAGAGTAGTATTCGAGTAATAGCATTATCCCAGTATTGTTTTCATGAGATCGTTGTACACAGCAGGACATTTTAACATGTAAATCTGTCATGTACACTCTACTGAAAAAAGTGGTTTAAATGACTAATAAAAGTTAAATACGAAATATGTACCAAATTTAGAGTTGTTTTCTTTTTTTACAGTTCGATACTTTTTGGATTCTGCATTTATTAAAATTTGCTTTCATTTATTAAAATTTCCCCAAATGATAAACATTACACACAATACCTAAAATTCGAGGCTGGTTACATGATTCCAGAGTCGAGCTTTATGAAATAAATGAACCTACAACCAATATTGTATATCAAAAACTTGATCGAAATCAATTATTGCTAATCGCTTACAAAATACATAAATACAGTCAATTTTGATAAATAAATAGTTGTTCATCTCAAGATTTTTTTTTAAAATCATTATAATTGTATAAATAATTCAGATCCAGTTCTAATAATAAGCACTAGCAAAACGGGGAAGCTGTGGGATCAATTGTTTTAAATATGTCTTTGAGATTTTTGTCTGAGCCTTGAGTTTCCTCAAGCACTGGTGGCGGCATAATTTGTAAAGAGTCTAAAATATCATGAGTAGTAACGTCTGAGCTAACACTCGGTAAAGGTTCACTGTTTGAAACACTAGTTTGAGGTTGCGACTGCACCGGTTTTGGCTGAACCGGACGCGGTCTATTGTAACTATTATATCCAGACTCCTCGCCGGATTGTGAACTGTCCCCGCCTAATGGAGAACTGTACTCTGTACTAGATTTCCTCTGTTCATTTAAACGTTTTTTCTCGGCAATGTCTAATGCGGCGTTGGCCTCTGAAATACGCTTTCGCTTAAATCTAGGATCATTTCTATAGTCTAACTTTGGTTTTGGTACTGCATCTTTTTCGCTTGCAGTTCCAGGCTGACTTATTTGTCTGTTAAATGAAGAGACTGATTCAGACTCTGCCACTTTACCTACACGAGGGTCTAAAGGCGGACTCATGCCTAACCCTAAGTCAAGTGGTAAACTTGGTAAATTTTCCAACTTTGTTATTTTTGGTTCATTTGATGGCTGTCTATTAAATATTCTCGGATCCATGGGTGGCGTGGAACCACGTGACCCGGGTTGAGAGTCCACACTATTTTGACGCGCAAGTCTTGGGTCAAATGGTCTTACACCTGAGTTTATGGCACTAGTATTATTTGAATCTTGTCTAGCCAGTCTAGGGTCCACTGCTCTAGCAGGCAATCCCGGATTTGAAGTCATTCTCTGAACACGTGGATCTAGTGGCTTTGCCGGGGGATCCAACCCTGGTTTTAAACGAGGGTCAAACGGTCTTTCCGGCTTATAATTTTGATCACTTTCTTGTTTAATTCCCATCCTTGGGTCTACAAAAGGTGTTAATTCCACCTTCGTAGGAACCCCTTGAGTTTCTTTAAATACTCTAGGATCTAGTAAATTGGGAAGTTTATGTTCACTAGAACTTTTGTGAAGCTCCCTTTTCTCCGGTAGAACAGCTTTTGAATGATCGATCACTTTCCCACTCTCCATTTCCTGCATTTTAAGCATTTTCTGAACGCGGGGATCAGACTTATATCTAGTATCCTGTAAATCCACATTGGCAGGTATTCTTTGTTTAATGTACAAAACACGGAATAGTTTCCAAGGACAGTCTCCATCTTGTGACACTATATTTGCAGGCTCTCGTTGGAATGCCTTAGTCTGTGAGGCCTGCCTTCTAGGATCATTTGGTCTGCAAACAAAATATATATATTTTAAGACAATGTAATACTGCACAAAAATTTTATTACTACATAGAATGCAAGCAAGAAAGACTAACTTACCACCATGCATAACCTATTGCATAAAATTGCGACTTAAAACACCTCAAATGGTGAAAACATTACACTTTATTTGGAAAATAAGTAACACAATTGAGTCTTTCAAATTACACACAATGCAATGCTATAGGTCAAACAAATATATATTATTATTTACATGATTGAAAATATCAGGAGATGAAACATAAAAACACATACATTAAACACATAACCTGATTTTCTAAAATGGACTTGCCCAGCTTCCACTTTCTGGAACTGTCCATTATTAATTTTAGGGACATTTGTCAGCCAATAATATAGAGCCTTTGTTAAGACTTCACAGATATGCAGACTGGCCTGGCTCCACACTTGTGGCAAGAGCTGGCCATTTTAAGTTTCAGCAGGATAAAGGCTAAAGATGGTTGCTAAATTCAATTTTCTTGCATAAAGAAAATCTTACAGAAAAGACAGCAGGTTCTTGCAGAAAAGAAAGTAGATTCTTGCAGACTAGAAAACAGTTCTTACCTATTTGGTGGAATGGTACTAGAAGAATTTGAACTTTTTATAGCATTTATCATTTGCATAACATTGATGGAAGAGGTAGCTGAGCTAGCTGGAACATTTTCTGATGTTTTGGGCTGAAAAATAGAAATAAAAATCCGAAAATCATTAAAAGTTTCAATATCGTAAATATAATGATGCGTTTAAAAAAAAGCTTTTTTGCTCTATAGGGTTTTCACAAATTAATTGAACAGGGTTTTCATTTTTATCTGAAGCAACAGATGTGCCAACGAAAACGAATTATTCAGCCAAGAGTCAAGGTGAATATTTTAATCTACAGGCTGAAAATACAACCAATTTCAACGGCATTTCAACCGATGATATGGATGGCCAATCTGTCAATAACGAAAACCCTGAATTGTGAAGTTTTATGAAATTAAACTGTTGTACTAGATGTAATTGCTTTTCAGAGGGTCACTGTGTAAAGGTTGCACTGTACCAATAGTCATAAAATGATATATATTGTAAATTCCAGAGTAAGTAAACATAAATACCTGGTTTAGAGATGTGAGTAAATTGGATATATTTGGTTTGACATCATCTTCCTCGTCACTAGAATACCATTTGTCATCATCCACTGTAATATATTTATACAATGCTTCAATCTTACACATAATTATGTTTACTATTTTACTATTTGATAAAACTAACACTTAACAAACTTACATAAACCATCTTGATCTTACCAACGCTGTTTATTCCCATGGTCTTAGTTTTTTATTGGGCGCTTTTTTTTTTACCGAGGCAACACAGTGTACGTCATATACAGACTACTTCCCAGCTTTACTGGTGGAGAAAGACCTTAGGTACGCCAATGTACGGGCACCCAAGTAGAACCACCAATGTTTCGTAAGCCAGCTGGATAGCTTTCTCACATGAAAAGAGTCCGAAAAAGATTGCATGGCTTCAACCTACAGAGGTGTGCAGCAAGTGGTTTGAAGTCGACAACCATAACCACTCGGCCAAGGAAGCCTCCAATGGTTTTAATTTTCATAAACAATGTCCAACATAACATAGAATGCTTGCTATGGCTAAATATATAAATACAATTGGTAAAATACATTTATAAATCCAGAAATGTATTCAATTTCTTTAAAAGTTCAAAAGTTACACTACCACCCTCTTAATATGCATTAGAAAATTCTACAGGTAATCTATAAATTAATCGGCTTTTTACTTACTTTTTACTGAGCTTTGAGTATTTTGCTGTTGCGACTCTGGTTTTTTAACGCCGGGAGATTTCTCCTGCTGCATCTTTAACTGGTGTTGTCGAATACGCAGGAACATCTCGCGCTGTTTGGGCGGTAAATGGCTCGGAATTGCAATGTCATCATCAGCGTTCATATCAGCATTTTCTTCATCCCAGTTTTGGGTTGGAGTATGGTCACCTACAAAGATTTCCAAGACATCTAAAATTCTGGTGTTAAGAACATACAATGGGAGCAGGGATGCAGAAATAACTATAGCTCTAAACAGCATTCTTTTTAAATCTCGTTCCTACTAAGTTGCTTTGACCAATTGGTTTGTGTATAAATATAATTGAATATGGCCGCACTTTTTTCTCTCATCCTTCTTAACAAAATCACAATATAATCTTTAGGTTCAGATACATTGGTATATTAAAGTGAATTTTAAGAATTTGCAATTGACTACTTATTTTTTACTATCAAGTAAGTTTTCTTATCTCTAACATACCTTGATTACTGCCATTGTCTTCCTGACGCATGTCAACATCTTGGCGGAAATCTTGATCTAAATTGGCATTGTTATCATTTTGCACCGGCCTCATGTCTACATCAGTTATCTCGGGTTCCTCTCTTTTAAGCCGAGGATCATTTTGTGCTCCGGACTTCCGAGGATCACGATTTTTGGCTCCTCCACCTGTGTTCATTTGACCCATATTCTGACTGCCTTGATTTTGGCCCATATCTTCATCTTGCATCATTGACCCTTGACCTTGGTTCATCATCATTTTCTGACCTTGACCCATGTCCATCATGCCTTGCTGTTGATTGTCTCCCATCATCTCATCCTGCCCTGGGCTCATAATTTGTGCACTCATGTTTGGAGGTGGCACCATTAAGTTAGGTCCGTTCATATTTGGACCAGGTCCCATCATATTTGGACCCATAAAACGTTGATCACCTTGCATGTTAGGACCCTGGTTTGGTCCTTGTCCGCCTGGGCCCCTGTATTGCTGAAGCATGGGAGCAGCTCTGAGGATTGCACCAACCAAGGCAGCTGCCTGGCTCATAGGAGGTCCCAATGGAGGTCCCTGCATACCAGGACCTGGCATTCCAGGTCCAGACATCATGGGTGCAGGGCCCATTAAACCAGGACCATTACCCATATTCGGCCCGCTGACCATTGGAGGGGGTCCCTGCATGTTCATTGGCGGTCCATCCATGCCTGGCCCAGGAGGCCCCATAAATGGTGGTCGAGGTGGTCCCCCTGGGTTTGGCGGTCCATTAAATCTCATGTTCGGACCTGGTCCCATCTGATTGGGCATACCTTGATCAAAACCTCCATTTGGCCTGAAATATTTATAAACACAAAATATAAATACCCGAAAATGTTTAAGTAAAAAATGTTAAAAAAATTCATAATCAAAATGTCATTGCTTTACATTGCCTTTTCGTGAGATTTTTTCCTCTCAAATGCCTAAAAAAATAGCTATTTAAAATTTTCAAAGTATTGTAAAATAATTTCTGTTAATAGCATACTATTTACTACATTGTAGCCTTTTAAAGTATGACAATATTCCTCGAAAGTACAATGCAGTCTTAAAACTGGTACATAATTTAACTTGACATGTACATTACCTCATGTTTTGCGACTGTCCCTTTTTCGGGGGTGGTTTATTAGGACTCTCCCCAGGCTTGTGGGTCTGAATGTCAAATATTGACGGTATACTTTTCATGTCTTCCAACTTCTTCTGAATTTCTTGATCGGACATCTGAGGTTGATCTCCTACAAAAGAGAAAACCTTGTGTTTACAATATGCATTATGATAATTATGTGAAAATAAAACTGGCTTGCTTCATATGTTACGTTATGATAATGATTTAAATTTTTAAAAAAGCTGTAAATAGTTAATCAATATTCACAATTAAGGCTTTTGTCGAGACTCATTCCTTTCCTAATTTTACCAATTTCTCGAAAATTTCCCTAAATTTTTTGTTCCATAATCACAAAAAGAAAACTCCATACATTGTATAACTATCATTTCCCTATCACATCTGTTAAACTCACCTAACAAGCCCTTCTTTTTATGTTTCCTTTCTCCAAAATCTTCTTCCCAATCTTCTCTGTCTTTAAGTAACTGGAAAAAATAATTAACAAAATTAGCTCTTGCCGTTAAATCACACCATTTGTTTTAAAAACCGTACACAATGAAAAATAAACAAAACAAGCTCTTGCTGTCATATCACATGCTTAGCCTATGAATCAAAATATTACTAATAACATCTGTGTATTTATTATCGTTTTCACTTCAAATAATTGTTAATCATGTTTTATCTATTCTAATACAGCTGTCACTTATATTCAGAAATATTTGCAAGGACATCAACACTTTGTAATTTAATTTTTTTTATTGAAAATCAATATGCAATAAGGTATAACACAATACTTTAAAGCCAATGTTTTTAGCCAATTTATAGCATTTTCACAAACATTTTGTATTTGAAATGTTTTAAATCTACTAGATTATTTATTTATTAGCTGACACTTGCCCCGTTCCTTTCTATGATTATGATTAAAAAGTGCAACCTGAGGTGGTGGTGCTGGTAGTTTTCACTCCAGATCACGGCAGTAAGCCACAATGCATTTAACAGAGCACAGTTCAGCCACTGCATCGTTCCTGGGCACCCTGTCAAGCAGTTTACCAGTACTAGTTTCCTTCACTTTCGCAAGGAAGTGATTACTTCAGTACATGCCAGAGCAGAGGTATAGTGCGAATGACCATAGAAAGAAGGATTTCATGATCAATCTCATTGAAAGTGACCTGCCACATCCGGGAATCTAACCCTGGTCGCCTGATTGACAGTCAAACGCTCTACCTATTGAGCTAACTGAAGGCTAAGTACAACATGAAATCATTGTGTTCCGTCTACTACTTACATTTTGCAGGGCCATATCTGTTTCCTCTGTCAAGGGTTGATGAGAGAATTTACAGTTGTCACCCTGGTAACACGTGGACCCAGTGTGGAAATATTTACATGGAAAATTTTGTACGAACTGTTAAGGATCAGCAATTTGACAAAAGTCAAGTATGTTTTAAAGCAGCCTGCCTCCAGTACTAAAATGCAAGGTCTTAATCAAATTTCTAACACTAATAATTCTAAATACATAATTCACAAAATTGATCTTATTGCAGCTTTAAGGTACTGAGTGTTCTTTGTGTTTACAATTAGGTGATTTCTTAAAACAATTTACATCTAAATCATAATTATTCAAGCTGGACAAATTATTTTAGACAAAAGTTTTCTGAGGTCTTTATTTTTAAGTTATTTTAGACTAGTCTCTTTTATCAATTCTTACTGACAAATAATTAAAAAGTTTAAATAATTGAAGATGTCTTTAGCTACACTTTTTTATACAGATATTTAAATGGATAAAGTTGTAACATATTTGTATATATTTATATAAAAGGATATCATGCATAAAAACGCATCCATCTTTCCTGCAGAAAGACTGTAAATGATATTTACACAGCTCAAGTCTCTTCTGTGGTTGATAGTCATGGTTGAATGGGCAGTCTGGACCCTGAAATTATAATACCATCGCTTTTGTTACCAAGACAAAATAAAATGACATTGACTGATAGGTCTGATTTGATATACAATGGATATGATACAGACTTAAAATACTTCTTGTAACTAGGTATATAAAATCAGTACTAGAACGTATGTAAATGTTCACAGTTTAGAATTAAAGAAAAAACTTTTGCACATCCCACCGAAATGCACTCTAACACACATCTCTTCACACCGATTTATATGCAATAATGAATGAAAACTCTAAGAATCGTCAAAAAAGCGATATTTTTCTACTTTGAGATATGATTTCTGCAAGTGTCTATAAGTACTGCTCCAACACTGTAGTGAGTTAAATCCATTTAAAATACATTATTAAAACCATTTCAACTCACTTTCTGGCATTTGCCTTCTTTAAAGAATCGGCACACAGGCCTTTCCTCCATAGGAGTTTGTAGAAGGGGTTTCTTTTTGACCGGACCTTCTTCCTCAAATTCTTCACCTCGATCATTGCGTTGCCGTCGGCGATCAAATTTTTTCTGCTGTTGTTGTTGTTGCTGTTGCTTTCTCTTCCCCTTTGGCATCGTTTGCTGAAATGTCGGAAAGATGTCAAAGTTGGTATTACGCAGTTTTAAGTGATAAAATTGGGAAGGTGGGTCAACAGATTAAGGGATATTCCAGGAAATATAATACATATCTGGTAAAATAATTAAATCAAGAGGTTTATTCATAAAGTGAAGACTTGTTGTAAAACAACCATGCCATCAGCACATACAGCCAGAAATACATGCACAATAACTCGGTTCAACAAGACTTTATATAAATGTTTTCTCAATTGGACATTAAATATTTAATATTTAAATTTACTGTACTTTTCAATTACATTATAAACATACCTCCATATCCATGTCCATATAGTCCTCTTCCAACCCAAACTTTGGCTTCTTTTCAGCATACCTGTAATATACAGACATTCATCAAATAATAAAAAAGTTTGTTTTTTAAAAAGAAACAAGATGACATTAACGATATAAAATTTGTATGGCAAAATAACATTTTTAATTGAATACTTCTAGCATTTATATCAGATTTCACAAAATCCTACAGGAATTTAATGCAAATGATGATTTATTACCACAACATAGCAATTTGAGTGCTTAAAATAGCCCTGTCCCTATTGCAACAATGTTCTAACTTTTATTGTGTTAAGACTATAGATGGGAACAGTTGAATGAATGGTCTATGAACAGACTACATCTATATAGAGACCAAATGAAATTTACTTTTTATTTCTTATATACTCGGAAACAAATTCAATAAAAGGCACTTTAATAAAATAACATTTAACAGTAAAACATAGGGTACATAATGTATAAAACAAAAAAATTAAAACATTACTACCCACCTGCTCGCATCATATTCATCATCGGAGGGACTGTCGTAAATTCCCGGCGGACTACTCTCGTAGCCGTCTGTATAGTTACGACCCTTACTTCCTCTGTCACGTTCACGACGTTCTTTTTTATTAGATTTATCTCCCCTTTCCCTGTCATGATGATCTCTCGACCTATCCCTGGTCTTCTCTTTGTCTGCGCTATTTTTATCACGATCCCTACCTCTGTGTTTGAAAAAATAGAGATAAATATTAAGATAATCTTTACAATATCCTTAACCCTTAGTAGCGAAATATAACATATCAACTAAACAAAGTAAATACCAGTGACGAATGACTTACTAAGACTACTGTAAAGTTTTCAGTTCTTTCCTACAAAGTACAATATAAAGCCCTAAAAAAACAATGAAATTGTTACATGCATTTCATATATATTTTGTTTAATACATCTTTCCATTATATTATAATAATACTTGCAAAACATATAATATAATAATCAATATAACCAAGGCCAATCTCTCAAACTTAATTCCCTTTTATAACTCCAATGAATGTGCAAAAAAGCCATTTCAGAAAAAATTTATTAAGGATCCTGTACCTTTCACGTCCACTATGGTGCCGATTTTCACCTGAACCTCTTCGCCTCTTATCCCCGTCCTTATCATGCTTCCCAGAATACCTCTCTTCACCGTGACTGTCATGAGAGGGACTATCATGCTTTCTATCATTCTTCTCGCGTCTCGTATCGGACCAAGAACTGTCATAATCTTCGCCCGATTTATCATAATCATAGTCTTTATGGCGTTTCTTTTTCTGTTTTTCTTTATGTGATTCTTCTTTGGAGGTTCGTCTACGTTTTGAGTGTCTATCGCGTTTCTCGTGCCCACGTCTTTTGTGATCCTCACGATGTCCGCTACTTCGTTGTTTTGTTGGACTAGACTTGTTTGGGCTAGGTTTTTCTTCTCCTTCTTCTTCTGAAAATAAAAAACGAAATTTTATTTAAAACTGCAAATTATAGAAAACGAGGCTGTAAAAAAACTTAGGAGTACCTATATAGATCAATCTTTATGACATGCTTTATCTTAAATGTAGATGAACTTTAGAGGAGTTATTTAAATAGCCAAATCACATTATCCAATGAAATTTATTCTAATTTCTCAAACACGATACTTGCTATGAGGGTCATTCTTCAAACCTGAAAAAAAACTTAAGATCAATTTGAAACATTGCCGCTCACTAACCTTCTTCTTCTTCGTTTATTTCACCATCCTGATCACTGGCAATTTCGCCATCTTCAAGAATTTCTCCATCTTCGGCATCAACAGCACCCTCATCAGCAGAGATTTGTTCGACCCTCTTATCTGTTTTCACTGAGCCTGTATCCGACTCTTCAAATTTAGAATTCATCTGTAAAGGGTCCTTGTTTTCTTTTTGTTCAATATGACCCATTTCACCATCACTTACAGCGCCTTCTGAATCTTGCGGGGCCATACCTTCCTCTTCGTCGTTATTTACAAGTTCATGAGCATTTTCTATTGGCTGTGTTTCAGTTTCCATGTTCGTTTAGCCTCCCATTGTAAACTTAGTAAAACAGCAGTCTGAAAATGAACACAAATTGAATTTCAACTTCTATTTCGATGTGTGTATATTAGATTTTACAGTTAATTAATTTTAAAATTATGGAATTAGTTCTTGGATAAAATGCTATGAATAACCATGATGCTTTCCTTAATAACTATAGACAGATTTCAGAACCAAATCAGAATTCTTTACTTTGTTGATTCTACTATACATGTATGTTTTACCACATTGTATTTGCCGAACAACCTTATGGGGGCATTTATAATTGAACAAGCAAATTCGTTGAATTTATATCCCCCGCCGAGTACTGGTTATTATTAACACAACAACTGAAGACATAAGGCTTTATTTATATATTAATCATGGCATAAACTGTAAAATTCTTTGAACTTGAAGCCTTGTACCTTCAAACAAGAAGAGTTTTTTAGTTTTCACTATATACATATAAGGAAAATCTATGACCCCCTGGAGTGGGGCCAATTTTGGCAGAGGACCTATATGTTATATCATATACCAAATATCAAAGCTCTAGGCCTTGTACTGTCAGACAAGATTTTTTAATTTTGCATTTATGAAACTCCTTTTCTGGCCCCATGTGACTGATGATTGTGATTGAAAATTACAAAATTTTACTAAGTCAAGGGCAATAACTCTAAAAATACTAAAAATATCCAGGCGAAAATACCCAGGTGCACAACTACACATACTGATCAACATTCCTGTAAAGTTTCATGACTCTAGGTAAAATACTTTTTGAGTTACATGCAACACAAGTTGAAAATTACAAAATTTTACTGAGTCAAGGGCAATAACTCTAAAAATACTAAAAATATCCAGACGAAAATACCCAGGTGCACAACTGCACATGCTGATCAACATTCCCATAAAGTTTCGTTGAATTCCAGCCATTAGTTGCAGAGAACTACTCCGGAAACGAAATTCGGACAAAATTTTACTGAGTCAAGGGCAATAACTCTAAAAATACTAAAAATATCCTGATGAAAATACACAGGTGCACAACTACACATACTGATCAACATTCCTGTAAAGTTTCATGACTCTATGTCAAATACTTTTTGAGTAACATGAGACACAAGTTGAAAATTACAAAAATTTTCTAAGTCAAGGGCAATAACTCTAAAAATACTAAAAATATCCAGACGAAAATACCCAGGTGCACAACTACACATACTGATCAACATTCCTGTAAAGTTTCATGACTCTAGGTCAAATACTTTTTGAGTTACATGCGACACAAGTTGAAATTTACAAAATTTTACTAACTCTAAAAATACTAAAAATATCCAGACGAAAATACCCAGGTGCACAACTTCACATGCTGATCAACATTCCCATAAAGTTTCGTTGAATTCCAGCCATTAGTTGCAGAGAACTACTCCGGAAACGAAATTCGGACAAAATTTTACTGAGTCAAGGGCAATAACTCTAAAAATACTAAAAATATCCAGACGAAAATACCCAGGTGCACAACTTCACATGCTGATCAACATTCCCATAAAGTTTCGTTGAATTCCAGCCATTAGTTGCAGAGAACTACTCCGGAAATGAAATTCGGACAAAATTTTACTGAGTCAAGGGCAATAACTCTAAAAATACTAAAAATATCCAGACGAAAATACCCAGGTGCACAACTTCACATGCTGATCAACATTCCCATAAAGTTTCGTTGAATTCCAGCCATTAGTTGCAGAGAACTACTCCGGAAACGAAATTCGGACAAAATTTTACTGAGTCAAGGGCAATAACTCTAAAAATACTAAAAATATCCAGACGAAAATACCCAGGTGCACAACTTCACATGCTGATCAACATTCCCATAAAGTTTCGTTGAATTCCAGCCATTAGTTGCAGAGAACTACTCCGGAAACAAAATTCGGACAAAATTTTACTGAGTCAAGGGCAATAACTCTAAAAATACTAAAAATATCCAGACGAAAATACCCAGGTGCACAACTTCACATGCTGATCAACATTCCCATAAAGTTTCGTTGAATTCCAGCCATTAGTTGCAGAGAACTACTCCGGAAACGAAATTCAGACAAAATTTTACTGAGTCAAGGGCAATAACTCTAAAAATACTAAAAATATCCAGACGAAAATACCCAGGTGCACAACTTCACATGCTGATCAACATTCCCATAAAGTTTCGTTGAATTCCAGCCATTAGTTGCAGAGAACTACTCCGGAAACGAAATTCGGACGGACGGATGGACGGACGGACGGACGGACAGACGGACGGACGGAAGGACGGACGGACAACGCCAAAACTATATCCCCCTCCCGATTCCATCGGCGGGGGATAATAATTATGTAGCAACAAGAATCTAAACTACTTGACAGCTCAATTTAGGTGGCAGATTGTACAGTATAAAAGAACATAGGTACAATTTAAAAATATCAGCTGAATTTTTTTTTTTTTTTTAATGGTTCTAATACAGAAAAACTAGAGCTGTCATACGCAGAAAAATAACTTTAGGACATGTACCCTTGTAAGAAGACTTTGAATCAGTTACTAAATGCATAACTTCAGTTTCATGACATGGGGCTAAACTTTCAGCGTTTTGTTTACAACTTTCAGCTTTTTCTCATTAAATACATCTAAGCATCTTGTCAGTAACTCATTAACTTTCATTAAGACAAACATCTGTTTCACCATATGGCTTAAAAAACATTTCACAATCTCAAATTGTATTGAACTGATTTAAATGAAGAAAAAAATCTATATAGAAAGCAACCCTGGGTTTTACAGCCAGAAAAATATCTATAGGGATATTTTCATACATTGGTAAAGGTGATGTATTTAAATTGCCTTTCACATAATTCAGCTACTGGGACACCACTTTAACAAATGCCTTTTTAATAGTCTAAATGGGCATTGGATAGATTTCAACTATCATACAGGTCACAGCTTGATTTTTAATATTTTCACTTCAGGATTTCAGACTTCATTTGTTTCTGACAAGACAACACTAAAATGATTTCAAGTGACTTCATGTCTTATAAATGACACTGGCATATGTTTAGGTTTTCATTTTGGGCCACTACTGGACTGAGTTTTGTAATAATAAGGTGTTACTTGGACATACTCTTCCAATTTGCATGGCCAATCAAATTGCAATTCTTTTTCATAATGTTCATAATGATTGGTTCGAACTTTTCTGTGGAATTGGACTTCATAAGATTTGTTATGGACTTTAATACATTTTAATATTTTTTCATTATGGAGTGCATATTTCACTTAATTTTCATTTTGGACTATATTTTTTCAAATTATGTCATTCATTTTTTCTTGGGCTTGACTTTCATCTTTTTTTTCCATTCCATTGGCTCCAATTCTTGGCTATTGCTGTTCATTTGTCCATGTATTTCCACCTTTTACTTTCATATTGTTTTTTATTTTTCTTCATTTTATTTAGTTTTAAAAAAATAACAGTGCTTTCAATGGGTTGTTTTTGTTTCTTCGATTTTTAGTTGCGACCTTGACATTTTTTAAAGCATTTACTTGTAAAAGTTATTAAATTTTTTATGGCCAAATCCTTATTGCAAAGGAATGCGTTAGGATTTTACCATGTGCAAGGTTGAGATTTTACTAGGGCTTTCCTGATTTTACTGCCATAGTTGTGTTGCAATTTTTTTTTTTTCAAGGGATGGCCATGTTGGATTACAAATGATTTTAGTATTAGTAGAGAAAAAAAAACTTTACATGTTATAATGACCGGTATACAATAAACTAGGATTTGTAATTGTTTTAGCTAATGAATGCATTTTTGTAATAAATGTAAAACAAGGATTTCCTGCATATATATTATTACTGTGAAAAAAAAAAAACTATTAAAATGAAAAATTACTTAAACGTTAAATAGATTTTAAGTAAATTACATTTCTAATTGATTTCCAATAGTTTTTGTGCAATTTTAAATCTCTTTGGTACAAGACATATTCTGGAATTAACTTTTAATAGATTTTGTAATTTTGAAGTTGAATAAAAATTTTAATTCGTTATAAATTTATATAACAAATAAATTAATATTGTCAACATGTCTCAACAGTTACCCATGCAGGGCCTCATTGTAAAAACATGCAACAGGTGGTTAAATTTCTTCAACAGCCTAACAAATAATACAGCAGGTGGTTTCCTGTCACCTTTATATTTATGTACATTGGAAAATAATAAAAATCAATTTATGGTAAAACAAACATGAGTTAAGTTAAAATGTACATTACTGATAAATATTGATTTTTTTTCCTGTAGCTATTACTGAAGTAAATATTTCATCACACCTGAATTTGTATAAGTGGTCACATACGTAGTCGTAGTATATCTAATCTAACAAAGAGAAAGGTCATTGGCTGGGCCTCATTATTTCGCAACATATGGAAAGAGAAAAGGGGCGTCACGGGGGGATTGTCGTTACAGTTACTGTTTCCACTTATTTTTGTATTTAATTAAGCGGGGGTTAGTTATTCTTATAAACGATACTTATTGAAAACGGAAGTGTGTTTGTTTAATTAACTATATGAAAACTTACCTCTTAAATCCTCGCGAAAAAAAGTAACATTAATTTAATATTTTACGAGTTTTGTTCTTAATTAAATTGTGCGATATCTTAGAACTGAAATTTAAGAAATTTTTTTAATAAAGCCGTAATATATAAATTGACGTAAAGCTTAAGTAGTGGTTAATAAGTAGAATTATCATTTGATAATTTCTTCAAATTTGTTTTAACCCTAAAGTTCCCCGATACAGGTAGTCAAATTTTGAAACATTGTAACCTTGAATCTTACTGACGGTTTGATATGCTTAACAGGCCGCGATATAGTTTGACCAATTTAATCGCCCATAGCCGTATTCCCGCTAATTGGATTTTTCTAATTTTAGAACATGACATTTTGTGATCACATGACCTCGCACCTAGACAACACGTGACTTTTGACACGTCAGCGAAGTAACAAGATGGAAAAGTCGCCATACAACGATTTCATCCCCTTGCCCCTTAAAACTATTGCAGGCACCTCGATCTAACCGTGCTAGGAACATCTTAATGAAAATAAATTATAGCATTTTATCCAAGCCTAACCCTCCATATCATTAACCGATTACAAACAGATATGAAAATAGTCTGCCCATATGCCGCCATTGCGTTTTTTTTCAGGAAGTTTTCACAAAGGTGTAAAACGAGATCTGCCATAGAAAAGATTGTAGTAATGCAGATTTCCTTCTTCTTAAATTTATGCCTTAATCACAAATAAACAAATGCGTTTTGCTCGCCATTTCTTCCGCATAAACTTATAGTAAATGACCCCTGCTTACACGAATTTTCTGCCACCATATTGAATGTTTATAATATTTTCAACATTTTTATGTGGCTGTAAAACCAAAGGGTTTATGCGGAAAATAAGGGATATGTACCATAAAGAAAGAGATCCAAGTATCGAGAATAGCCTTATATATTAAAAGAGAATATTATCGAGTATATTGCGAATCCTTTTTCATGTCCAAATCTCACATAAATTTCTCCAACTACATGAACAAAGACTGTTCTAGATTTAACACGCAAAATGGCGGAGTAACTATATCATGTAGTGACGTCAACAGCATTGATGGGCGGAAAGAGGGTTGGCAAGGGGTTTCTTTCATTGGTTTTCGATAAGGATAATGAAAATGTCTAGGGTTGTTGGGGGCATTACCTTTAGATACCTCTATCATGCACATTGTGCGTGATTTTTAGGAATGTGAGATTCAAGAGGCCCCAAGTGGGAAAAAATAATTTTAAACCTATTATTTTTTGGGGAAGATAGTGCAACACATATTTATATATCGGTATAACATTTTTACAAAATGCCATTTTACATTTAATTCAAAATATTATTTATGTGTTTTACCTTTATTAAATGTTTAAACGTCTCGATCAAATTATCTCATGATACAAAATTTACTGGGAAAATTCTTTAAAATTAATCTAGTAATAATTAATCAATTAGTTGGAATCCTAATTGTATCTGCACATGTCCTTTAATTTTTCTTAAATCTATTTTTTTTTACAATATTTAAATATATTTCCTCCATTGCTATCAGACGTACAAAAAGTAGGTCAACTACAATATTTACCGTTGCCAGGGGCGATTTTCAATGAAATAAACATGATCAATTTTGCGCCAGCTGTGGTTACAATTACAAAAAGCTGAATACAAGCTGCCACTTTTAAAGAAAATGATTTAAACATCTCTTCGTTAGAAAAACGTGTAAACTTCATGCAAAACGGAAAAATGTCAAGATCGCAAATAAAAATGAACTAGCTACTGTATTGCACTGAACAAGAAGACATACACTGTTATTGCAAGCACTTTTCCTTATTGAAAATATACGCATTCGGGTATGAATATTAAATACTTGCCTATATATTGTTTTAGCACACTATTTTGAATTCTAAGATCTATATTTCTGATTGATCTTCATTTAGACCAACGTGAAATACTTTTTGATATTTCCTTCCATTTTCCCAGTTTAGTATAAGAATCCTTTTTGTCCTTCGTTTTCAGGTTAAATTGTTCTGCAATTCACTCGTTTAGACCAAGTTAAATGTACAAATTAATTTAAAATCGGTTCATATAATATATATTAATACTTAAGATGAGAACTTTGGCTGAATATAACCGTTTCAAATGCCTTATTTTTCTTCAAAACAACTCTAGAATACGTCTTCAGCAAGATTTTTTCAGCCTTGTGCACAACCCGGTAATCTATAATTCAGCTCGCTTTGCACGCATGATCGATACCTGGTTACAGAAATAGACACATTTGCATAAATTTCCCCATAATGAGCCTCATTCTGAAACACAACGTTGACTACCACGGATAGCTGCTTGGGGGTACACAGAGGTGTTGATTACGTTTATGATGGTTTGATATTCTTCTGTCGCGATAAGATTAAACGATATAAAAATGTGGTGCTTGATCTGATTTACGTATCGCATTTAAGGAGCATTTTCAAGTACATACGCTCTATAAGTGTGGTCAAAATTTAAAGCTTGAGTTGGGACTTGTACGATAACTTAAAGTTATATTATCAGGTGGGCGATGCCAAATATAAAAACACCTCTAATTACCACCTTTTTATCTTTAATCGCATGTTTAAACCTAATGCAGGGTTGATGCCGAATATAAATTTCTTTTAAATGTCCAGTGACCCTGTATTTATATAAACATACAGTTCAATGTATAAAGGGAGGCTAATCGTACATCATAACACGTGAAGTAAAGCAAGAGTTGCCGCGTTGTATTAAATTAAACGGAGGTAGCCCTGGACCTACAGCATCTTGCATTTAATGATATGTATACTGGATGTATTTTACTCCACCGTCCTACATCTTCTTAATTATGATGTGAATGAAAACCATATTCTCTCTAATACCAATGTATGGTTTGACGTGTTGTTTTGATGATCATAATCTATTTTTCACGATATGCATACATGTATAATAAGCTCCATATCAAAACAATACTGATTAAATAATCAACAACTTTTGTCACTGTAGTCTGTATCCATGTAAAAGTTATAATTTTCCATGCACCAATTTTTAAAGTAGATCTAATGCATTACATCGGAATATTTTGACGTTAACAGTATAAGCCGGCTTTTTATTAAATTCATGAAAAGACCTATTCTTTCGCCACTTATATAAAATCAATCTTTGTGCATGTCAAAGTTAGCTCTTTTTCTCATTTGTACTGAAAGGCTGATGACCGTTCGTTCCCAGCTTTTATTAAAACAAATAACTGTGCACTTTACGGGCCTCTACTAAATTTTGCTCGATTTGTATTTTTATGGAAGAGACTTCATCATTTCTTTTTACTTTATTATAAGAGATTGTGCCAAATATTTGTTTGAACGTTACTAAAAGGACACAAGTATAATCGAAAACACGATATATTTTATTATTTCTCTGTTTCCTACCTTATTTTATGCGCACTAAAATAAATTAATTATTGCTATTAGAGGGAATCTGTAAATCGAAAGAACTTGTGTGTATCTCGGACATTTGCCCAGACATTAGAACAGTACCGAGTAGACTTCCGGAATAAATTCGACACAATTTTTGTGGGTTTTTTTCTCATTTTTCTCAATATTTTATAATCGAATCTGAACTTGACATATTCAGTAATCTCTTTTGCTTTAATTTCGACAGTGATTAGTTTTAAACTGGACTGGAAGAGGCCTTCTGACGATAAAATTTGTTGTCAGATTGGTAAAAACATGGCAAAGAAATTATTTTTGTTCACTGGGGGACTGGGTGTATTGAATTCATTAAACGATGTTTAGAACAAATTTCTTGTATAATGTTTATTTTACTGAGCATGAAATATATATGTGGTTGTGACGCTGTTCTTGTCCTATGTGTCATAATGTTTGAAAGTTGTGTGACAATAATTTATTTGTAGAATACTGTAATATGAAAAAGGCAAAGCCTCAAAGTGAGCTCGATTTACTTGTACCATGAAATAGCATAAAATAATCGTTCATTTTTATTATTTTACATTTTCCGTTTTAAAACTGTCATTCGGTATTTTATGCACTGCTTCCGTTTATTCTGGTTCCCTGTCTAATATTATGGTTCCTAATCCTATAAAAGGATGCAGGACACCGGTCTACTCATCCGTTTTCATTATTTCAATCAGAATACCTCTGACAGCTTTTATCCTGTAATCCGAAAAGTTGCGATATGTCAATTTCCCACTTCCGATGAAAGTTTTCAAAACCATCACTATCTACTAGCAGGTACTTGCATAACCGTAAAGCTCGATGATGAATGATGATGATGATGATGATGATTTTCTTTAGACCGGGCGGTCAAGGATAGCCTACGAAAGTGCAAGCACTTATTTCCAGTAGGGTCCTTACCTCAGCAGACACTAGAGACAGCTATGAGATACAAGGAAATCCGGGAACCAGTCCCTAGCTCTTTTTGAATAGATTCCTTGGTTCTTTTACATGCCGAGTGTATAGCACTGATACATGCGAGGATTGCCTGGGTTTCTTACCAGTAAACCTCTAGTTAGGTGGGAAACACTGAAAGTGTTTCTGAAAAATCCCAAGGGTGTTACCCAGGATCGAACCCGGAACCTCAGGAGTGACAGTCAGTGGTCTAACCAACTGAGCTATCGAGCTCACTATTAGTTGGAGAGTAAACCTGGACATTAAATCACAGATTTTATTCAATATCTTCATAATCTTTGTGTTTATGTCATTGTATTAAACTGGTCACTAATTAGCAGAGAAAATAAGTCAAAATGTAGTGGCCTGCCAAAGCTATCATCTGAGAAATTTTTGTACTGTTAGTCCAACTAATTGTTGATTAGCAAGATTCTGACCCAGCACAAAACTATCTCAGAATCTAGCTTTGGCATGTCAATATATCTTGACTAGGTGTTATTCATGTAGTTCATTAGGTGACCATGTAAATGTTTGTTGGGACAGAGACATATATAACATTATTATATGCTTAAAAACTAAAAGTAATATCAGACCATGTATCTCACTCTTGCCAGCAATTTTATGCGTATTTTTTGTGGTTTGTTGGTATGTCTAATACTAAATACTAGCAATTATTTGTTGTATTACAGACCTTCCATTATAGACCAATTCAATGTGAATACTTCCATTTATATCATTAGCAAATTATTTAGTATCATCAACCATCAACATTCATTCAGTTGAAAAATGCAATTTTGCAAAATTTTAAACAAAATCTTGTCTAAACAATAAATTAAAAGATTGGGAGGGGAGAACAACACATCAAAACACCAGGTCGGTTTCTATTCTATTTATTTAAACTACCGGTTTCGGGTACTATATACCCTTCATCAGGTTATCAATTTTAACTTTACAAATTATAGAGCTAAGGTATAAAAAAAGACGGTACACTTTTTGTCAGATGTTACTAAATATAGAAAATTTGTTACTAATTATAATTATGTTTTGGACATTAGCCAAATTTAATTGGCAGTGTTTCAGAATTGTTGATTATTGCAATTGCACTTGTTATTATTGGGAAAAATATTATAAATAGAACAAACGTTTATGATCTGTTCATTTTCATTGTTGAATCGTCCCAATTCATCTTGTAACTGGGTTGTGTTGTTGTCCATTAGTAGTTTTGAAGGTTCATATACAGGTGATATTGGTTCCGGAATGTTGAAAAATCTTGTCTTCTTCAAATTGTTTCAAACTTTTTGCCTTAAAACATAATATTATATTCTTTACAAATTCACAAACATTTGTTGATTTGAGACAAGATTTGTATACGAAAAATAACAACTATAGAGCTCAATTTTGGTAGATGATTAAACAGGACCAACAATTTTCTGTTTCAGGTTAATAGAGAATAGGTGAAAATATGTCGGACAGTGAATTCTCGGATGCAGAGAGTGGTGGTGGGGACAGTGAGGTAAGTAAATTTCTGGATTTTTTCCTGAAGTTCCGGATTTTCAGTCTCCTGGAAGCTTTCTATTTCCTATGTAAAACTATAGAAAAACTGCTTAATTCCGGATTATCAGGATTTTTAAAATTTCCAACTTTTACCCATGCTTGTAGTTTAAAACTAAGTATACTGTATTTCATTTGCTTATAATTTAGTGGGAAAGTTTAGATGGGGAATTGAGTACAACTATTTTAATTAAATCGGAGGCCATGTAACTGTAAGCAAAACGAAGTAGGGCAATAGACCTCTTCAGTAACAATAGAATATGGGGGCATAACTCTCAATCAAACAAAAGAAAATAACATAATGAATTGCCAATATTGTTATATATTTTGAAATTTTCCCCAAAAATTATAAATGGTTTTGTCGGTATTGAAAGATGGACAAGTCCATTTAGGATATTTAACTTGGTAAGGTTTAAATGATATCATGGCTTGTCCAAGGATCCATTTATTGATCCTGGCATGTAGAAAATGTCAAAGGTATCATTAACATGAGAAAGCCCTCGTAAAAATTATTTCAAACTTTTCAGGTCGCCAGAAATAAAACATTAGATATCATACAAAGATGTTACTTATAAACCACTAAACATTAAACTATAATCCAAATTTTCCGAAATAATTTATAAAAAAAATCCTATATTCCATTCAGGGAGAGATGTCCAACCAGGGCTCGGACGAGGATAGTGTGAGTGCTCCTCATAAAAAACGAAACGTTATTAACAGTGAAGATGACGACAGCGATGATGATGGGCCACAACAAAAGAAACGAAAAGTTAGCGGCAGTGACGATGATATAGATGATGAAGAAGACGATGTTGTAAGTAATGATAGCACAGAAATATGAAATGATATCTTATGATAAGGTGGGGCTGAAGGGTGGTTTAAGTCACAGGTTTGGAATTATTTTGCTGAAAATCACTGTAAGTTTGAATCCCATGAGCCTCAGAACTTTGGATTTATTCACTTAAGGAAGTTGTCCAGCTAATATTTAGAAAAGATCAGTAACTGTGCCTTACATTGATTCACTACAAAGGGAACTTTCAGGGAGACTCCAAGCAATTTAACTGTTGTTCTATTCAGATACCTGCATATGCCTTTATGGGCATCTGAGGTTTCCCCTCCACCAGTCAGACTCTTAAATTTCACCATATGACTTTAACATTGAAATCTGATGACTGAAAATCTTACTAAAAGTATCTACAATAAACAATTCATTTAGGACCAGAGCTGTTTCAAGTTGGCCTCATTAGCTAGAGCAGATTTAAGACTCACAGATTTTGAGCATGTTGAATCATTTCAAGGAGGAAATTTTTCCACATTCCTATTTTGTCAACAGGAGATGATTTAACATAGGGGTCAGAAATTGTGCACAAACTCTGATTAATTAGAATTGAGATACTTGTTGACAATTATAGGACTGGTATGACTTAAAACCAATCTGAATTTTACTAGAACAGAACTTGACCTGTATTAATCAACGTTTAACACTTACATTGATAGATCTTAACTATTTCTACTATGTCATTGTGTTATTGCAAATTGATCTGGTCAAAATTACAGCAGAGATGTCTTTAGTTTCATAATAAATGTATACATTTTCTTGATAACAATGTCTTGATCAATTTCTAGGACTTCGATGAGGAGGAGGAGGAAGAGAGAATGCGAGGGAAGAAGAAAAAACCTCGTCATGGAGGATTTATTTTGGATGAAGCAGGTATGTTCTCATATAATTGAAATATTATGGCTAGATGATAAAATCATTGACTCTTTATTACTTGCACACCTTCTATGTGGGTCAAAATCCTGTCTGGTTCAGAGGTTCAAATTGTCGACTTAAAATTCCTTGAAACTTCTTTGCTGTCTGTTTGAGTCCTGAAAAGGACTTATTTTCTGTACGAAATCTGCTGTGGTCATAGTATTATTTTTACAATAGGTTTATCTCTTAGATTTGGTTTGATAAATTGCTAATCATGGTCATGCAACTACATAGTTAGGTGAAGAAGCAGGCGCTTGTTTTTGTTGAGTCTATTATGTTTTGTTTAGGGGGTTGAGTTGTCATACACAAATTTACAATTTATATGCATTTATGTTTTTCCAATGATTGTTATTATCTTAAATGCTTCTGGGATTTATTTCTTCTGCAATTCATTTGTAAATAAGATTGTTATATGTCTATTAACGGAATAATTTTAATGAACACGAAATTAGTTCACACCTACACATGTATTGGTAACGTGAGGGTTTAAGCCAATGAAAACACGTCAATATTATTATACTCAGGCAGAGAAAAAGTGTGCAAAAATTAAATCGCTAATCTTTATGTAGCCAGCAAACTTTGAATTGCAAGTAATTTTTCATATCTTTTCGGCAGGATAAACTGTCCGAGGATTCGTATCGTAAAATGGCTACCATTTACAGTATCAAGTGATTATCCCAAGCACCACCGCGACTTAGCGCGGGAATTTTAATTATAGTTAACCTCGGCGCGTATACCTTTTTCATATTTTATTTTAATAAATATTTACAAACTGTGTCTTTCGGGGTTTTTTTTAATCAATATATAACCAATAATGATGTTAATATGAATAAATAATCATATCTCAAATCTTTGACTATGACTTACAATGAAATTCTACATTAAGTGTATTAAAAAGGTTTTTAATTTCCTGTAATTTTATTTTGTGATTCACGCGAGTATTGATACATATAATCATTTTTTGCAGAGGTTGATGATGACGATGAAGAAGAAGATGAGCTTGATTGGGAAGAAGGCGCTGCCGAACTTATTGAGAGAAAATCTACGTACGAGGGACCCACTGCAAAAGAAATGGAGAGCAATAGACGGCTTAATGAATTAATGAAGTAAGTCTTGTAGTATAGTTTGAACCGAATATAAAAATGAAATTACAAATTTTAGTGATTTTGTTAGTTTGAAAATTAAATATTAAAAGGTTTTTGTAACTGATTTTTATGGAAGAAAATGACAACAGATTTCATTGTTGTCTAAATTCATACATGTGTCTGTTTCAAAGTAATTAAATTATGATTGTGTAAGACCTTCATTTCATGATACCATGTTGACTTTGTTGTAGTTGACTTTAAACTATTTGGTCATCTCTGTTGTGGGTTCGACTCCAGCAAGGGACATTGGATTCGTTCATGTGAGGAAGCTATCCAGCTAGCTTAAGGAACAACGCTGGTTCTACTTGGGTGCCCATTCATGCCTAAAATAATGCAGTGAGGGGCATCTGGGGTTGTCAAAAAGTCGCTGTATAACCTTTACAGTGTTGGTGCGACGTAAAACCAAGCAAAACCGAATAAAATCAGATACCACATATATTTGAAATGTCTATATAGGATTGTAAAATTGTAATTAATTGTCTGAAACCTTGGTTAGGGACAAGTCTTCTAAAGTGTTTTCTTTCTTTATTACAGTAACCAGACAGAGGACGAGATTGAAGCTTATTACAGACAAAAGTATGGCGACAGTTCCACTCTCGACAGATTTGGCGAAGGCGAGGAAATGTCGGATGAAATCACACAACAGGGACTCTTGCCTGGTGTCAAGTAAGTAAAGATATCAGGAAACCTACAATGTCAAACTATATATTGCTTTTAATCCATAGCTTAAGCGAGTCCAAGGCTAAAGTCGCTGAGCTAAAGAATAAGTTCTTTGACTAAGTTGTCTGAGGTTTAATCAAGCCAATCATTTAACTCGGTAATAGTTTCATGGCCGTTTAGGCGTTTACATTGTATATTCTTATTTACATACATTATTAGTTAAAAATAATATAATTGGTTATATGGCCCTGTTATATGACCCATTTATACGACCCTGTTATATGGCCCAGTTTAATGTTAGCTTATACAGTCAGAACAGTTAGGCAATGAATTTATACTAGGGATGGCAACGAGTAACCGGTTAACCGAGTACTCGATCGAACGTCCAAATATCGGTTAACAAAATTTATATTCGATTACTCGGAAAAATATATTTTTTCTTTTTTTTTGCAATTTAGAAAGGTTGGTGTATCCAATTAGTTCAGAAATTCGGAGATGTGCATGTATCTTCATAAATACCCGATAAATCAATCAAAACATCCTCGGAAAGGTGCGAAAATGATGTCATAAATTTAACGAGGCGATCAACAGTTTGACACACACACCTGTGTCGCTTATGTCATCCAGCCTCTTATGATATTTAATTACCTTTAATTGTGTAGCCGAAGTAACTGTTTTGAAAACAACAAATGGACGATTGCTATCATGAATGTAAGAATAAAAGTAACTAGTATTTAGACCAGGTTAAACTTTTGTTGCCGCCGATCAGTCTATATTATTTCAAGAAGAATAAAGATATATGAACTGTTATACATGTTTAAACTTGATATTGATTTAATTAAAACGTTGTAAAATATCATGTTGTTGATTTAATTATAATTAATTTGTCTCCCGTGCAGTCCTATTTACTATCTACAGAATTCTATGAATTTAAATAGAGAACGAAGGTAGCATGCAGACGGTGTTGATATTGTGTGATAAACTTTGAAGATCACTGACAATCATCCGAGTAACCAAGTACTTGATCAGAAAAATGACCGAGTACTCGAGTATTGATTTTGGTATTCGTTTCCATCCCTAATTTATACCAAACATATGTTTATTCACATGTAACATATCAAAAGTTTTAATAACAAACTTTAATTCAAAATATTACACAGTAATTTTTGCTTTCTTGGATTTAAATATAAAGAATATGCTTCCTTAAAGGAATTCCTTGCTGGTCCAAAAACCTAAAAACATGAAATTTCCAAATCTTTGTAAGTTAAGCTGGAGCACTTACAACAGAAAGATATGCAAAGTATAATTAAGAAATACACTCACAAATAAATTGAAAATCTTATTTTTGTGCTAATCTAAGCACAATTTGAGTGAAAAATGTTGCAACTCTTTTCAGTTTTTGGTGATTTTCACAATTAAAATAATTCATATAAACGGAGTGGGCGAATGATTTGAAATTTTACACAAGTTGTTAGTTTAGTCCAACATCAATTGGAACATTAATCTGGAAAAATTATTCCTAAGTCCATGATGGTAAAAATATTAGTGGAGTCTCTGTAATTTGCCTCAGCAGTGTATATTAGATAAAAAAAAATGAGCCGCGCCATGACAAAAGCAACATAATGGGTTTGAGACCAGCATGGATCCAGACCAGCCTGCGCATCCACGCAGTCTGATCAGGATCCATGCTGTCGCTTACAAACCCTATAACAAGTAGAGAAACTGATAGCGAACAGCATGGATCCTGATCAGACTGCGCGAATGCGCAGGCTGGTCTGGATCCATGCTGGTCGCAAACCCATTATGTTGGTTTTGTCATTGCGCGGCTCAAATAATATTACGGAAATGTATGTTTCAGATATATTTTGATTATATCTTACATATTTTGTTTATATTTTATAGGGACCCAAACTTGTGGTTGGTGAAATGTCGTATAGGAGAGGAAAGGCAGACGGCTCTACAGTTAATGAGAAAGTTTATTGCATATCAGTTTTCTGATGAGGTATGGCATTGGTTTATACAGAATTGATTTTAGTTTGATTGTGTAGGAAGCTCTAGTTTATAGACACACTTTGGTATTCGTTCCTGGAACCAACCAGTACTGAGCAATGAGTGTAAAGTTTCTTACACAAGGAAACAACAACTTGCCACTGACGGGGTTTGAACCCATGGAACTAGCGATCATTAGATTACTAGTCCAACACTTTAATCACTCGACCATGCCACCATGGTACGACATTGTAACATTGTGCAATGATTTATATACATAATTTTTTACCTGAAAGCATTTGTTTTCTAAATAAATTAAATGAAGATAATGATAAACTCAGGAATTTCAGGTTTTCTGACATTTTGAACTTGCACCCATGCATTTATGTAAGCAGGACATGGGTTAAAAGAGCTTATTTATATGTTTGTATATTTTTTTTAGCCGTTGCAAATTAAGGCTGTGATAGCGAAGGAAAGTTTGAAAGGCTACATCTATATAGAAGCATACAAGCAGACTCACGTAAAACAGGCTATTGATGGTGTGGGCAGTCTGAAACTTGGACAATGGTCACAAATGGTATGTTGTACTTAATTATAGTTCAAAAACTTCTTACTTTGTATTAACTTTCAGGATTATTTCTGACTTGAGAATTACCAGACATAAAAGTCATTCATTTTTCAAAAAAAAAAAAAAAAAAAAAAAAATAATTAAAAAGAAATATTGGATTTAGAGTTAAAGTAATCTTATAATGAATTGGTTTAACATAAACACTGGAATCATTTGTGGAAGCTAAGCTTTTAGCTGAAATAAAGTCAGATGCTCTACATAAAATGCCTGAAATAAAGCATATAGTGGCACCTTGGGTCATAATGAGTAAAGCTGGTATGTTTGAGTAAGGCCTTGAAAATGTCAGTGTCAGTAGACAAACATGGGAAAAAAAGATAAAATTGATCAAATTAAAGGGACTCCACCAAGGTTTTATGACATTATGAGATGGAGAATATTTTTTTAAAAGTTTTTGTATATTACCGGATATAGGTCTGAGCCAGTAACTTGTGTTCATCAGCTCTCTCTGTTAAGCAGGAATAATCAAATTTTATTATTCAAATTGAATCCCAAAAGGAAGACGTTGCAATGCTTTTCACCCAAATAGGACCCAAAATTGCATTAAAATCCATTAAAATCCATTATTCATTAACTTTGAGTGTATTTATATATTATCTAATGCATAGTTTTCCATTTTATGCTCACAAGTTGATTTATGGAAGAATTTCAAATTTTATGATTTTAGGCTATTGGACATTGGTGGAGTTCCTTTAAATAATTGTAAAAAATTATACCTCATATGAATTTTACTTCATACTGGTCATAGAAATTGTAGTGAAATATTAATGGAAGCCTTTTTTTCTACAGATGGTCCCTATCAAAGAAATGACCGACTGTCTGAAAGTGGTCAAGGAGACGGCAGTTCTGAAGCCAAAGGCTTGGGTCCGTCTAAAGCGTGGAATCTTTAAGGACGATCTGGCTCAGGTTGATTACGTCGAGTCAGCCCAGAATGCCGTGCATCTGAAGTTGTTGCCGAGAATAGATTACACTAGAATGAGGGGAATCATGAGGAACCAACAGTCTGTAAGTAAATTACGTAAATTTACCGGAACCGATCAAACTTTATATAGGATCTTACTTAAAATTTTCATTTTCATTTTCATTTTTAGCTCGACTATTCGATAAGAATAAGTAGAGCTATTGCAGTCACCTGAGCGTCGGCGTCGGCGTCGGCGTCGGCGTAACCACTTATGTTAAAGTTTTTGTAATAGTTCAAATATTTTCAAAGTCCATTGACATATGGCTTTGAAACTTTGCACACTTGTTCACCATCATGACCCCAACCTGTAGACAGGAGGAGGTAACTCTATCAAGCATTTTGACAGAATTATGCCCCTTTTTCGACTTAGAATTTACGTTAAAGTTTTTGTAATAGTTCAAATATTTTCAAAGTCCATTGACATATGGCTTTGAAACTTTGCACACTTGTTCACCATCATGACCCCAACCTGTAGACAGGAGGAGGTAACTCTATCAAGCATTTTGACAGAATTATGCCCCTTTTTCGACTTAGAATTTACGTTAAAGTTTTTGTAATAGTTCAAATATTTTCAAAGTCCATTGACATATGGCTTTGAAACTTTGCACACTTGTTCACCATCATGACCCCAACCTGTAGACTGGAGGAGGTAACTCTATCAAGCATTTTGACAGAATTATGCCCCTTTTTCGACTTAGAATTTACGTTAAAGTTTTTGTAATAGTTCAAATATTTTCAAAGTCCATTGACATATGGCTTTGAAACTTTGCACACTTGTTCACCATCATGACCCCAACCTGTAGACAGGAGGAGGTAACTCTATCAAGCATTTTGACAGAATTATGCCCCTTTTTCGACTTAGAATTTACGTTAAAGTTTTTGTAATAGTTCAAATATTTTCAAAGTCCATTGACATATGGCTTTGAAACTTTGCACACTTGTTCAACATCATGACCCCAACCTGTAGACAGCAGGAGGTAACTCTATTAAGCATTTTGACAGAATTATGCCCCTTTTTCGACTTAGAATTTACGTTAAAGTTTTTGTAATAGTTCAAATATTTTCAAAGTCCATTGACATATGGCTTTGAAACTTTGCACGCTTGTTCAACATCATGACCCCAACCTGTAAACAGGAGGAGGTAACTCTATCAAGCATTTTGACAGAATTATGCCCCTTTTTCGACTTAGAATTTACGTTAAAGTTTTTGTAATAGTTCAAATATTTTCAAAGTCCATTGACATATGGCTTTGAAACTCTGCACACTTGTTCACCATCATGACCCCAACCTGTAAACAGGAGGAGGTAACTGTATCAGGCATTTTTTTTACTATCAAGCACTAAGAATAGTCGAGCATGCTGTCCTACCGACAGCTCTTGTTTTTATTATAATTTAAATTGAGTCTCTGGTGTTAAATTTATATTTAAATTAAATGACACTTTATTTAAGATTCTTTATCATAATATTATTATATCATATCATAATGTTAGAAAACAACAATAAATTTACCATTGTCTTCATTATTGACCAAGATCTACAGTGACAAATTTTCAAACTTTTTAAGGATTCCACCAAAACTTTGAAATTTATTAACAGATTTTTGACTGGAAGTGTCTTTACTAACACTTTGTCTTGAAAATATATACAAGCTCTACATATTATTTGAAAAGAAACTAAAAAATGTTTACATTTTCTTGCTAATATACAAGCCATGAATTTGTTTCTATACAGAAATAATTTACTGTAATTTCCATATTAATTTATTTTGGTTATCTTTATTTTTTCCCACTTATTTTGTGTTTATATTTTAGTGTTTTATATTGACGTTGGGTATCTTATGTTGTATTGTTTACACTGTAGGATGCGGAGAGAAGGAAGAAGAAAAGAAGACCTGCACAGAAATTATTTAACATAGATGATGTGAAGTAAGTTAATGTAATTTCTATCACCTCCCACCTTCATCTGAAGAGGGATGTGGGTGTGAGACTTATGGATCTTTTAAATCAACTTACTTTTAATGTTTTTGCCTCTATTGTTAATTATTATAAGTATTTTTAGCTCTTTTTTTATGTCGTCACTTCTTAGGTTGGATGCATATGAATTTCCCCTTTCTTCATCTGGGTGTCATGCTTCTTTCAAAATCTGCCTTTTACTAAAAATCTGCTTTTGACATAAAATCCAGCCAAATAAAAAGTCTTACTGACTTGAGATTTCTGGGATTCTTAGATAACTGTAATAATAAAGCAGGCACACAATGCACAGTTTATCAGTGAAGTCTTATTATGAGAAATATGAATAAAACAATTTCTTGGACATAATGAGCTTTTAAAGGATTGTTGCAAAATGAATGTAAAAACAGCACTTGATTTATAAAAATTTAATAAGAAAGGTTTCTGTCCATTTTTTAGAGCCATTGGTGGCGAGACTTCACGAGATGGAGATTTCTTTATATTTGAAGGCAACAAGTACAGTCGAAGAGGATTCCTATTCAAACCATTTGCCATGTCTGCAATTGTAAGTCATTCTTTAAACATTAAATACCGGTATTTTTAAATATTAAATGCCTGTTGTTTTAAACATTATATGCTGCTATTTTTAAATACTAAATGCTGGTATTTTTAAACATTAAATGCAGGTATTAGATTTGGAGAAAGGTTTTGTGATTTAAAAAGTCCATATCGTCACCTAAATGCAACAACTGGTTTACTCCTATTAAATTTAATATCACTTAACCCGTTGCTGCACTAGGGTGACTTTTTAGTTTTAGCATTAGTTTGATAATCAGGAACAATTTAATTCATCGTAACAAATACATTAACATACTTGTTTCATAAATTGTAAATTTTAAGCAATTTATAACTGCCAGTTCATATAAAAATTAAACATCCTGTTGGAACAGGCTTGTGGGCCTTTTTGGGCATCATACTTATCAGTAATTTCATTGGTATAAAAAAAAACTTTTCCCCATTAATACTGTATGATTTATTTCTAGTATTTAGCCAATCTAGCCGGCCCTACTGTAGGGGTATTTCTAAACTCCATCAAGGAAAATTAACATAATTCCATGATTTGTGTTCTTCAGATAGCTGAGGGTGTTAAGCCCACACTAGCAGAATTAGAGAAGTTTGAAGACCAACCAGAAAATATTAATATTGACAGTATCCTTTCACAAAGACCAATTTAAAACTGTATCTATTTATAGTTCCTGAATGAACATTGGCACAGTTTTTTTGTTGTTGTTTTTTTACTTAAATGTGAAAAAAATGCACTTCAATGACTTATAGTAAAAATAGTATTGCCTTGCATTTTATTTATAAGATAGGAAAATATAACCTGGATAAATTAGTTTTTTTATAAAACAATCTTCGCTTATTTTTTGTGGGGGTGGTATTTGATTGGAAAAAAATGAGTATTGTTCCTTAACTTGCTTTAAGTAATTCCCGATAAAAGCTCAGGGGAGATTACCCACAATTTCACGCCTGGGGACGTAGTTGAGGTGTGCGAAGGGGAGTTAATACATCTCCAGGGTAAGGTTATCAGTATAGACGGGAACAAAATCACAATGATACCAAAGCACGAAGATCTTAAAAAAGACCCGCTCGAGTTTCCGGCCCACGAGTTAAAGAAACACTTCAAGACCGGAGATCACGTGAAAGTTATCGGAGGAAAGTACGAGGGTGACACGGGACTGATTGTTCGTGTAGAGGATAATATCGTTGTGTTGTTCTCGGATCTTACGATGCACGAGGTACGTTATATTATAATGAGTCATATGCATCTTACCTCAGCTCAAGACTTTAGTAATTGTATTTAAATAAAGTGGCATATATAGTAGTCTCCCTTTGAGACAAATTTGAAACTTTTTCAATTTTAAAAGTTAGAGAGTTTAGTATTGTTATATATCTATGTCCCTATTGTTTGTTGCTTATATAAAAAAATTTTATCAAGCATGCCTCGGTCGTCAGCAGAATTTTATATGACTGTTAAAACGTTTGCCTCATGTTCCCATCCGGTAATTTTAGGCGTCTATATGCGTAATGATCAGTGATATGCTTTGAGGTCAAAGCTTAATCCATAGTCTGCTGGCAGGAACTTGTACTATCCACATGATCAGTGCAGACCAAGATCAACTGACATGGATGATCATGGTCTGCACTGTAAGATATTCAGGCAGTACTTTTTTCAAGAATTTTCCTTAAAAAGTATGAATGGCTTAGTTGCGAACTTTTCCTTAAAAATATAAATGGCTTAGTCCAAAGTGATAGATGGACAAGTCCATTTAAGGTATTAACTTTGGTAAGGGTGACAAGTAGTTAGTCTGGACATTGAATTATTTCAAGTGAAGAAGCTGTTTAGCTGGTACAAGGCAGATTACTGATTCTTCCAAGGTGCCATTTCTGTCTGAATAATACATTAAAGGGTTTCTTGGTTTTTTCTCTCTGTAAAAAGGAGAGGGTTGTGCAATGAATTTTAATATTGCCAAAATTGAATCTCAACATAAAAATGCAGGGATTTTTTTCCATAGATTGGGGAAGCAGCCCTGCCCTTAATTTTTGGGGAAAAATTACACGATATATTTGCAAAAGGGGAAGAAAAAACTTGATGTAAATTCGATTTTAGGGGAAAACTGTATGATTTTAACCAATTTTTCTTTGGGAAAGCAGCACTATATCGGCCCCTACTATAGAATGAAAAAAAGCTCTGAAATGACATGGTACACTCACTGCATTGTTTTGTTTCAGTTGAAAGTTTTACCCAAGGATTTACAGTTGTGTGCTGACATGGCCACAGGTGTTGATTCTCTAGGACAATTCCAGTTTGGAGATCTTGTGCATTTAGAGTAAGTTACATTTACGTTTTGACTTTTGTTTAACTGGGTGCTTAAGGCATGGATGGTATATTGTATTAACATCTGCCGTCCATGAACAGGCTCAAGAAAATGGAACTTGCCACATTTTGTAATTTGACCGTGTTAGACAACTTTCAGGACGTAATTTGACTGTGTTAGACAACTTTCAGGACGTAATTTGACCGTGTTAGACAACTTTCAGGACGTAATTTGACCGTGTTAGACAACTTTCACGACCATGTTAGACACCAAGAACAGACAGAATATTCATGGAGTTGGAATATGGTTTTGAATGAGTAAATGGTTTTGTCCAGATTTAGAATAGTCCTTTTAAGACATTTTGGTTGGCAAGTGTTGAAGGAAATATAAGCTGTCTATTCATGCTGATGTTCAATAATGATATACCTATTTTCTGTTGTTTACAAATTATTATTGCATTTTATTTCATGGTTTTCAGTAGACAGGAAATTTTGAATGTTTTGATAATTTCACGGTGAAACTATAAAATGACTTAAATCTACTGAAAGCGCATGAAATGAAAAGTAAATTCCTTTTTTTTGCATGTAAGATCAAATATTTTTCAGTCGTGAACACCAGCTTTTGCATTTACACAATGGGCATCTTGTGTTCACGCTGTAAAATATTTCCATCTTACCTGTGAAACAAACATATATCCACTATGTTATAATAATATATGAAAATGATATTCTATTCTATTTCAGTCCACAGACTGTAGGGGTTATTGTAAGATTGGAGAAAGAAAACTTCCAAGTTTTAAGTATGCACAATAAAGTAAGTCTGTCTATAACTTTAATATTTTAGTAACTACAGTAATCAATTTCTCTAGGACTTGGTAATTAATCTGTTTTAGACTGAATGTCTGTATGTTGACTATGTGAAATAATGTATAACTTTACACATGGGCTACTGAACTATTGTTCTTCTAAATGAGTTTATACAGAATTTATATTAGTTTGAATGTGAAAGGTGCTTTAAGCTTTTATACTTTCAAATCTGTTTCTGGAATTAACCAATACCAAGTAATGAGGGTAAAGTTTATTGCTCAAGGAAACTCCTTAGATTACTAGTCCAACATGTTAACCATTCAGCCATAAAATTTAAATCAACGTTTTGCCTTTCTTTGACTTTTGCAACATATGAACCACATGAGTAGTATAAATGAGCCACACCATGACAAAACCAACATAATGGGTTTGCAACCAGCATTGATCCAGACCAGCCTGCGCATCCGTGCAGTCTGATCAGGATCCATGCTGTTCGCTTACAAACTGTATAACAAGTAGGGAAACTAATAGCGAACAGCATGGATCCTGATCAGACTGTGCGGATGCGTAGGCTGGTCTGGATCCATGCTGGTCTCAAACCCATTATGTTGGTTTTGTCATGGTGTGGCTCAAATGTAAAAGTACAAAGCAAGTGAGGATGTGACTTTAAAAATGTTGCTTTGTTATACCCCCAAAAACGAAGTTTGGGGGGGTATATAGGAGTCACCCGGTGGTCGGTCGGTCGGTCGGTCCAGACGTCTGTTGCATTTTCCTTGTCCGGAGCATAACTTGAAAACTTATGGTTGGAATTCAATATAACTACATACAATGGTCAAGCACATTGAGAGGAAGTGCAGTGCACAAGAACCATAACTCTATCTTGACTAATTACAGAGTTATTGCCCTTTGTTACTTTTCCTTGTCCGGGGCATAACTTGAAAACTACTGGTTGGAATTCAAAACAACTTCATACAATTGTCAAACACAATAAGGGGAAGTGCAGTGCACAATAACCATAACTCTATCTAAAGTAATTACAGAGTTATTGCCCTTTGTTGCTTTTCCATTGCATTTTTTTTTTGTCCGTTGTATTTTCCTTGTCCGGAGCATAACTTGAAGACTAATGGTTCGAATTCAATATAACTACATACAATGGTCAAGCACATTGAGAGGAAGTGCAGTGCGTAAGAAACATAACTCTATCTTGACTTATTACAGAGTTATTGCCCTTTGTTACTTTTCCTTGTCCGTGGCATAACTTGAAAACTACTGGTTGGAATTCAAAACAACTTCATACAATTGTCAAACACAATAAGGGGAAGTGCAGTGCACAAGAACCATAACTCTATCTAAAGTAATTACAGAGTTATTGCCCTTTGTTGTTTTTCAATTGCCTTCTTTTTTTTGTCCGGAGCATAACTTGAAGACTAATGGTTGGAATTTAATATAACTACATACAATGGTCAAGCACATTGAGAGGAAGTGCAGTGCATAAGAACCATAACTCTATCTAAAGTAATTACAGAGTTATTGCCCTTTATTACTTTTCCATTGCTTTCTTTTGTCCGGACCATAACTTGAAGACTAATTGTTGGAATTCATTATAACTTCATACAATGGTCCAGCACATTGAGAGGAAGTGCAGTGCACAAGAACCATAACTCCATTTTGACTTATTACAGAGTTACTGCCCTTTTTTCTTTTCTTTGTCCAGAGCATGACTTTAAAACTACTGGTTGGAATTCAAAACAACTTCATACAATAGTCAAGCACAATAAGGGGAAGTGCAGTGCACAAGAACCATAACTCCATCTTGACTAATTACAGAGTTATTGCCCTTTGTTACTTTTCCATTGCTTTCTTTTGTCCGGACCATAACTTGAAGACTTACTGTTGGAATTCATTATAACTTCATACAATGGACAAGCACATTGAGAGGAAGTGCAGTGCATAAGAACCATAACTCAATCTTGACTTATTACAGAGTTACTGCCCTTTGTTACTTTTCCTTGTCCAGAGCATGACTTGAAAACTACTGGTTGGAATTCAAAACAATTTCATACAATGGTCAAGCACAATAAGGGAAAGTGCAGTGCACAAGAACCATAACTCCATCTTGACTAATTACAGAGTTATTGCCCTTTGTTACTTTTCCTTATCCAGAGCATAACTTGAAAACTACTGTTTGGAATTCAGTACAACTTCATACAGTTGTCAAGGACATTCAAAGGAAGTGCAGTGCACAAGAGCCATAACTCCATTTTGACAAAATACAGAGTTACTGCCCTTTGATACTTTTTCTTGTCCGGAGCATAACTTAAAACGTATTGGTTGGAATTCAAAACAACTTCATACAATGGTCAAGCACAATAAGAGGAAGTGCTGTGCACAAGAACTATAACTCTATCTTCAGTATTTGTAGAGTTATTGCCCTTTGTTCTTTTTCTTTGTCTTTCTGGACTTATTACAGAGTAATTCAATTAAACTTCATCAATGGCCAACCACATTGAAAGGAAATGCAACATACATGAACGACAATTATCTTTAATTGCCCACAACCATAACTCTATGTTTCAATTCTTTTACAAGGTATTCTGTTACTAGTAACATCCTCATTTCCGAAGCAGACGTGTGGGGGTATTAATCACATTTAGTGATAGTTCTAGTTTTATTAAAAAAATTACTGGATAAAGATGAAGACAAAATACATTGTGCTACGTAAGTGCAAAAATGAACAATAAAAAACCATTATTACATGTCATGTATGATGATTTTTGGTTTACAATATGTATGTTCTCTTATAGGTGCAGAATGTAAAACCTCAAGCTATCACTAGAAAGAAGGATACAAAACACGCTGTAGCGCTTGACTCAGAAAATAATAATGTATCAGTGAAAGATATCGTCAAAGTAGTGGATGGGCCACATTCGGTATGTAAACTTTTACAATCTATTTGATGGTTAAGGTCATTGACTTCAAACCACTTGCCTCTCATCGCTGTGGGTTTGAATTTTAATAGGGACTGGATTCTTTCATACGAGGAAGCTATCCAGCTAGCTTACAAAACATCGATGGTTCTACTCAGGTGCCTATTCTTGTCTTCCTCCACCAGTGAAGCTGGAATGTCTCCATATGACCTATACTGAGTCAGTGTGACATAAAACCCAATCGAACAAACAAACAAAACCTTTATTATTACACTCTTCTAAACTCAGTTGTGTGTGCCTATTATATCTGAGCTACTAGAATTGAAAAAGATTTCATGTGTGGGCATGAAAGTTAATTAAAAACATTTGTCACATGTATCTTAACAGGTGGGATTCAGTAATAAAGGTCACAGCTTTATGTTCAGGATTGTTTCTGACAGTCTAAATTTGTTATAAAGTGTTCGCCTGAACCAAATATTTGGCTTTTTTGGCAAGTGATTTGAAGTCAGAAACCTTAACTAGTTGGTCATGGAAGCCTCTACTTGTTACATATAAATAACAAAAATCATTTTAAAATACCTAGAATGCTATTATAATATCAAATGTTAAGGTACTAGCACGTTCTACAGAAATTTAAAGAAAGGTTCAATGTATTTATATTATGTTTTCAGGGTCGTGATGGAGAAATCAAACATTTGTATAGAAGCTACGCCTTCCTGTTGTCAAGAAAAATGACTGAGAATGGAGGATACTTCGTTTGCAAGACACGTCATCTTGTCCTGGCTGGCGGACAGTCAAAGGTTTGTAGTTTAACTCTATTTCTACGGAATATTTAACAAAGCTTAATTAACTTGTGATTCTTTAGATATTTAACTATACATATGATACACTAGTGAATAAGTTTGTTGGAACTGTGCCAAAACTGAATTTATTTTTAGCAACAATATTTCTATTTATAGCAACAAGACTAAAAAAAGTATCCCTAATAAACAGTACTTCATTGGTTCAAATTTCATATATTCTTAAGTCTGATGAAGAGTATTATATTACCTAAAACTAGTAGCAAATCAAATCATAAAACTTGACCAGGTGTTGTACGCGTGTTCCTCACCAGTCCTGTTTAAATCATTGTTTTATCTCTACAAATATGAAAATTGGAAAAATAATGTTGGTATATTTTCTTATAAAGTGGTAGAACTATTTATTAAAAATAGCATATGAATAGCATATGAATGTTTTGCTAGGGAATATTTTTAGTCCCCTACCGGTTTACCGGAGGGGACTTTAGGTTTACCCTCCGTCCGTCTGTCCGTCCGTCTGTCCGTCCGTCTGTCTGTCCGTCCGTCAGTCCGTCCGTCCACAAAACTGGATCCCGCGATAACTTGAAAAGTACTGAAAATATTTTTATGAAACTTGATATATGGATAGATGGCAGTATGGAGATTATGCACGTCTTTTTCTTTTCTTCCTATGTTCAAAATTCTGGTTGCTATGGCAACAAATAGGCTGAAAATATGGCAAATTTTACACATAAACTGGATCCAGTGATAACGCAAAAAGTACTGGAAATATTTTTATGAAACTTGATATATGGATAGATGGCAGTATGGAGATTATGCACGTCTTTTTCTTTTCTTCCTATGTTCAAAATTCTGGTTGCTATGGCAACAAATAGGCTGAAAATATGGCAAATTTTACACATAAACTGGATCCAGTGATAACGCAAAAAGTACTGGAAATATTTTTATGAAACTTGATATATGGATAGATGGCAGTATGGAGATTATGCACGTCTTTTTCTTTTCTTCCTATGTTGAAAATTCTGGTTGCTGTGGCAACAAATAGACTGAAAATGTGGCAATTTTTACACATAAACTGGACCCAGTGTTAACGCAAAAAGTAATAGAAATATTTTTATGAAATTTGTAATATGTGTAGATGGCAGTCTTGAGATTATACACGTCTTTTTCTTTTCTTCCTATGTTGAAAATTCTGGTTGCTATGGCAACACATAGACTGAAAATATGGCAAATTTTACACATAAACTGAATCCAGTGGTAACTCAAAAAGTACTGGAAATATTTTTATGAAACTTGACATATGGGTAGATGGCAATCTTGAGATTATGCAGGTCTTATCAGTTCCCCCTATTTTGAAAAAATATTGGTTGCCTTGGCAACAAATAGGCTTAAAACATGGCAAATATAACAATATTTGTGACTAGTCAAAAAGAGCTGAAACTTTTTATGAAATTGCATCTTTAATTCCAGAGTTATCTCCTCTTTAAGAATTTTGCTTTTTAAAATGTTATATTTTGGTAACAGGGATGTTTCAAATATTAACTTTAGAGTGTCCTTCAGTTCGTCTGTCTGTCTGTTCATAAAAACATTTTCCTGTGATCACTTTTAAAGAACATTTCCAACAAATTTACTTAAAATAGAGAAAAATTTACACATCAGTGAATGGCCAATGGCCCTTCAGAATGCTGATGGGGTTCTATCCGGTAGGGGACTATGGATTGCTTGCAATACTATGATAATTGCTTGTTCATATATAATTCACGTGAGGTAAAGAAGAGAAAAACTTATAAAGTTCCGTCCAGACACCGTCATAAGGATATGACAATAACATGATTGTTGAGTTTTTGCAAAAAATCTTCAAATATATTTTACAAATTGTATCTTTATGCCCTTTAATTGATTCTAATGGTTTCTACAGAAGCTCCTAAACCCAACTTAATTTAACTGCATGAAGTTCATTTTATATATATCAACTTATTTAATTTTGTTTACTTTCTTTTTGTTGAAAATTTCAGTCGAATGTGTCAGTTGGGTTGCCAGGTTTTATGTCACCACGTCTGTCTAGCCCCGCCCATCCTGGTAGTGGTGGAGGCGGGTCTACACCTGGGCGGGGCAGAGGTGGAGGAGGCCCGGGCATGAAGCGAGACAGAGAAATGATTGGTCAAACTGTGAGAATTGTTCAAGGACCCTTCAAAGGTAAACAAATCATATCATCATTCTACTAATATAAAATCAGTTTTTTTTACAAAGTCAGAATTTTGTAGATTGAAGATTTCAGATTTATTTGCGATGTTAAATATTCACATATTTCTACTTCCTTTTCTGCTAAATTTATATGATACTTTGATAACTAGTGAACATCATTTTTATAAAAATCTTCAATTTGCTAAATTAGCAATTTTAATCACTAAAAAAAAAATTTGAATTTTACACTTCATGAAAAACTGTTTGCTATATTTTGAATTGCTTGATTATTTAATACTTTGTAATAGATTTGATAAAAAGTCACTTAGAAAGAATACCTACTTGTATCTATAGGTTGTATTGGTATTTTTGATGACCTTTCTTGTATCTGTAGGTTATATTGGTATTGTGAAGGATTCTACAGAATCTACTGCTAGAGTAGAACTTCATGCTAGCTGTAAAACCATCTCAGTGGACAAATCTCGTCTGGCGTCCCTCACGTATGTTACTTTTGTCAGATTTGAATTGTATTTTTCAGACATGAAATGTGTATTTTCAGTCTTGAAATGTATATGTAAGTACTTGAATTGCGTATTTTCAGACTGTATGCCACATACATGTACATTGTTATGAACTAGTATGAATTATTTTTATATGAAACACCAGTAGAACCATATAAAGCATATCCTGGTTTGATAAAAATGGTCAATTCTATTAATTTGGAATACTTCTTATGCACAAACGTTTAAAAGCAATAAAGCTTTTATTTGCTGATTTCAACATAGAAATTTAGAAGAACAAAATATATTCAAACAAAACACAAAGACAAAAAGGGAGAAAAAACAACCTCATCAATATAACATGGTTATAGCATTTTTAGCTCACCTGTCACAAAGTGACAGGGTGAGCTTTTGTGATTGCTTTTCGTCCAGCGTCCGTCTGTCCGTCCGGCGTCCGTCCGTCCGTAAACCTTTACTTTAAATGACATCTCCTCATAAACCACTAAGCCAATTTCATCCAAACTTCACAGGAATGTTCCTTTGGTGGTCACCTTTAAAAATTGTTCAAAGAATTTAATTCCATGCAGAACTCTGGTTGCTATGGCAACCAAAAGAAAAAACTTTAATTATCTTCTTTTAAAAAACCCAATTAGCTAGAGCGAAGATATTTAGCATGAAACATGTTCTAATGGGTGTCTACCAAGTTTGTTCAAATAAGAGCCCTGGGGTCAAAATTGGCCCTGCCCAGGGGGTCATTGATTTTCCTATATGTATATAGTAAAAACTTAAAAAAGCTTCTTTTAAAGAACTAAAAGAGCTAGAGCTAAGATATTTAGCATGATACATGTTCTAATGGGTGTCTATCAAGTTTGTTCAAATAAGAGCCCTGGGGTCAAAATTGGCCCTGCCCCGGGGGTCATTGATTTTCCTTATATATGTGTATAGCAAAAACTTAAAAAGTATTCTTTGAAAAAACCTTAAAAGCTAGAGTTAAGATATTAAGCATGAAACATCTTCTAGTGAGTGTCTACAAAGTTTGTTCAAATAAAAGCCCTGGGGTCAAAATTGGCCCTGCCCCGGGGGTCATTGATTTTCCTTATATGTGTATAGGAAAAACTTAAAAAACATCTTTGAAAAAAAACCAAATAGCTAGAGTTTAGATATTAAGCATGAAACATGTTCTAGTAAGTGTCTACAAAGTTTGTTCAAATAAAAGCCCTGGGGTCAAAACTGGCCCCGCCCCAGGGGTGTCATTGTTTTTAACTATTATGTGTATAGTAAAAACTTAAAAAATCTTCTTTTAAAAAACCCAATGAGCTACAGCTTAAATGTTTAGCATGAAACATCTTCTTATGGGTGTCTACCAAGTTTGTTCAAATAAAAGCCCTTGTTTAAATTGGCCCTGCCGGGGGTAGGGGAGGGCAGATCATTGTTTTTCATTATAAGTGTGTACATCATGAAACATCTTCTTATAGGTGTCTTTCAAGTTTGTTCAAATAAAAGCCCTGGGGTTCAAACTGGTCCTGCTCGGAGGGCCTACATACAGGTGAGCGACCTTAGGGCCATCATGGCCCTCTTGTTTTTTAAAATTAACAATTCCTTATTTGCTACTAAATTTTAATGTCTTTCAGTGGTGGCAGACCAAGTGGTGGAAGGACATCTACATATGGAGGCCGGACACCAGTATATGGTGGTCAGACACCTATGTATGGTTCCCGTACTCCCATGTATGGATCACAGACTCCTCTACATGACGGGAGCCGGACTCCTCATTATGGTTCCCAGACTCCACAACATGAAGGTAGTGGAACTCCCGGTAGATCTGGTGCCTGGGATCCAGCTAATGCTAATACCCCAAGCAGGTATGTTCTGTCTTTATTTAGTTTGACTGTTCAGAGAAAAATAGAGCTGTACTACTCATATGGGTCGTGACATTGGCATAACATTTGATTTGGTGTTTTGTTTGAAATTTCATTGATTCTGAGTAATTTCTGAATGTAATCTGTTGAATACCCAGAAGCATCCATTGCCCAGTGGTTAAGGTTGTTGACTTAAAACCAATTGTTAGGTTGGATCACGTCAAGGACTTTGGATACTTTCATATGAGGGAGCTATCCAGCAAGGTTAGGGAACATTGTTGGTTCTACTCAGATCTACTCACCAGAGGTCTCTCTCCATCAGTAAAGCTTGAAAGTTGCCATATGACCATTACAGTGTTGGTGCTGTGTAAAACTCAACCCAAAAAAAAGCCAACCTGTTTTTCAAAATAAACAGAAAAGGAGATAGCTTCCAGCAAAGACATACAACTCCTGCATTGATTTTAACATAACTTCAGCATGAATTACTACCCTTGAAGACTGGATTCTTATATGAAAGTAAGCTATAGCTAACAAAAGGTTTGGTAGTTCTACTTAAGTGCACACTTGTGCCTGAAATAATGCATAAAGAGGCATCTTTGGTCTTTCTTCACCAAAAGTGCTGAAAAGTTTTCTATATAGTTACACAATTCTAAATTTAACCATTCTGCTAATATATTCTAGTAAATAAAAGAACAATTTGTTTTACAGATCTCAAGATTTTGACTATCAGTTGGATGATACAGTGTCACCTGCCTCCGATGTGCACAGCCCTGTCGGTGGCCCCTTTACACCACAGACCCCTGGTAGTGCTTATTCTCCATACAACCCATCTCCAGGCTCGTCATATCAAGGTTGGTATTTAATAGCAGTTAACACAGAATAACTTGCAGAATGGAATGGAGTTTTGAAATTTAATCTGTATGTTTCTAAGTTATAGCTTGAGCTGTAGACAATATTGAGGTGTATTAGAAATGCAGACTGGCATGGCTAATGCTTGTGACGTGTGCCATAAACTATTGTATTTCTTCATGTGACATATTAGACATATTCTAGCTAGAATTAATAAGATTTGTTGAATAATATAGTCTTGCTGTTGAAGAGGAATGATACTTTATATGTAGGTGAAGTGATATTAATTGACACAACATGCATTCAAAAACATTTTATAAGAAAACCTGAAGCTCGCTGGAAATTAGTTATTTATTTCTTACCATGATTTTTATCATTGAAATTCTAGGTTAATTATATTTTTGTATTTCAGCAAACAGTCCTGGTCTGGGTGGTTCATCGCCTAGTCCCCTGGGATACCAAGCCTCCCCGTCCCCTAGCGGATACGCTGGCTACAGTCCTATGACCCCAGGGGCTCCTTTCACTCCACAGACGCCAGGTACAGCCATGGACCATATAAATGCAGACTGGCACACAACAGAGATTGAAGTCCGGATCAAAGAAACGCATGACGATGCTGATTTGATACACCAGACTGGAGTGATTAGAAGTGTCACGGTATGTGTATAGTTTGGTGCATAGTTTGTTTAGTTTAAACATTATTGATGTAAGCTTACTTGTGAAGCACTTTTTTTGGAGCTTTCCTGCTGCTGAAAGACCACACATGAACTATCATGCATTATTTAGTAGGTGTAATTCAGAACTTGTCAAATGTAGGTTTTTCCCCATCTAATCACAGGGTACAAAAAAACTTTATCATTATAGCTTCATGGTGCACTTCCAATCAGAATAGAGTGATCAACATGTTATTATTGATATATTTAGCAAGCTTTGACTGTAAAAGTTTCTTTGTACCCCAGGATTAGAAGAGCAAGACCCAGATTTTCCGTGTTTTAGAATATTTCTATCAGGTGGCACATGGGTAGAGTCACTAACATTCTGTAGATGGCAGCATTGCCGAGTGCTTAATACAACAGACTATTAATCAAAGGATTGTTTTCCGTAAAGGGTTCAAATCAAGTTGGGGGCAAATTGTTGTTTTCTTGAGCATGAATTTTTTCACTCATAGCTCAGTACTTGTTGATTCCAGGAACACATTCAAGAGTGTGTCTATAAGCTAATGACTTCCTACACAATCAAACTATAATTAATTCTGTATAAACTAACATTTTGTCAAGCTAGCATGATAGTTAGATGTTTATACTTGAAAAAGTTCAATATTGTAAATATGATTAAAAAAAAAGTGCCATAAGTGATTGACAAAGTCAGTAATGTTCAGAAATCTTTTTACAATGTCACCTATACATTAGCAAGTTTACTTGTGAGATAAAAATTTCAAAAAGGCTCTAGCAAGAGTCAAATTTCAGAAATAAGTCTTGGATATCAATAAATGTATACATATACAATGTACAAATATTACTATATTTTGTGTCTATATTATGAATATTTTATGTATATTTTATGTATATTTTATGTATATATTATGTATATTTTATGTATATTTTATGTATATATTATGTATATTTTATGTATATATTATGTATATTTTATGTATATATTATGTATATTTTATGTATATTTTATGTATATTTTGTGTATATATTATGTATATTTTATGTATATTTTATGTATATATTATGTATATATTATGTATATTTTATGTATATTTTATGTATATATTATGTATATTTTATGTATATTTTGTGTATATATTATGTATATTTTATGTATATTTTATGTATATATTATGTATATATTATGTATATTTTATGTATATTTTATGTATATTTTATGTATATATTATGTATATTTTGTGTATATTTTATGTATATATTATGTATATTTTATGTATATATTATGTATATTTTATGTATATATTATGTATATCAGGGAGGTATGTGCTCCGTGTTCCTACCAGAAGAAGATAAGGTTGTCAATGTATCATGTGAGCATCTAGAACCTGTGCTACCTGAGAAAAATGATAAGGTAAAGATTTCACTTAACCAGGCTATACAAATTCTAAATGTGAGCTATGCATAATTTAAATGTAGGCTATGCAAAGTTTTAAGGTAATATGACACTTAAAAAGGCTATGCAGATTTTTCACAGGAACTGGAAATGATTTTTCGAGATTTGTGTACCATTGGAAGTATGTCTGGACTAAAAACTTGCTTGCAAAATTTCAGATTATTCCCTTAATCCATTTTCCCAGAATAATCATTTTTATCATGCAAATTGACCCATGAAATTAATTATTTCACCAATACCAAGCTGAGAATCTTGTACAAATTATTTTTTTTGCACTTCAATAGTGAGTCTTTATTTATTCTTAATTATCTTTTATACGTTTTCCCCGGTTTAAATGCAGCTCTTGATGTTTTTAATAATTTATAATTTCATGGTTTTAGGCTTTTTGATCTCAGTGGAGCCCCTTTAATGGGAAAAGTTTGCCCATGTAAAACTAAAAGATAAATTTGAAAAAAGAAACCCTGAGAAAAATGTATGCATTGAAATTGCTCTTAGATTCATATTTTATAGAAAATGAAAGAATCATTGAGAATTATGCAGTGAAATTTCTTGTGCTTAGATTCATATTTTTATTAGCTCACCTGTCACAAAGTGACAGGGTGAGCTTTTGTGATCGCTTTTCGTCCGGCGTCCGTCCGTCCGTCCGGCGTCCGTAAACTTTTACTTTAAATGACATCACCTCATAAACCACAAGGCCAATTTCATCCAAACTTCACAGGAATGTTCCTTTGGTGGTCACCTTTAAAAATTGTTCAAAGAATTTAATTCCATGCAGAACTCTGGTTGCCATGGCAATCGAAAGAAAAAACTTTAAATATCTTCTTTTAAAAAACCATAAGAGCTAGAGCTTAGATATTTGGCATGAAACATCTTCTAGTGAGTGTCTACCAAGTTTGTTCAAATAAAAGCCTTGGGGTCAAAATTGGCCCCGCCCCGGGGGTCATTGATTTTCCCTATATGCATATAGTGAAAACTTAAATAATCTTCTTTTAAAGAACTCAAAGAGCTATGGCTAAGATATTGAGCATCAAACATGTTCTAATAGGTGTCTATCAAGTTTGTTCAAAGAAAAGCCCTGGGGTCAAAATTGGCCCCGCCCCAGGGGGTCATTGATTTTCCCTATATGCATATAGTAAAAACTTAAAAAATCTTCTTTTAAAGAACCAAAAGAGTTAGAGATAAGATATTTAGCATGAAACATGTTCTAATAAGTGTCTACCAAGTTTGTTCAAATAAAAGCCCTGGGGTCAAAATTGACCCCGCCCGGGGGGGTCATTGATTTTTCCCTATATATGCATATAGTAAAAACTTAAAAATCTTCTTTTAAAGAACTCAAAGAGCTATGGTTAAGATATTTAGCATCAAACATGTTCTAATAGGTGTCGACCAAGTTTGTTCAAATAAAAGCCCTGGGGTCAAAATTGGCCCGGCCCCGGGGGTCATTGATTTTCCTTATATGTGTATAGCAAAAACTTAAAAAATCTTTTTTGAAAAAACCCAAATAGCTAGAGTTAAGATATTAAGCATGAAACATCTTTTAGTGAGTGTCTACAAAGTTTGTTCAAATAAAAGACCTGGGGTCAAAATTGGCCCTGCCCCGGGGTCATTGATTTTCCTTATATGTGTATAGCAAAAACTTAAAATCTTCTTTGAAAAAACCCAAATAGCTAGAGTTTAGATATTAAGCATGAAACATATTCTAGTAAGTGTCTACAAAGTTTGTTCAAATAAAAACCCTGGGGTCATAACTGGCCCGGCCCCAGGCGTGTCATTGTTTTTAACTATATGTGTATAGTAAAAACTTTAAAAAATTCTTCTGTTAAATAGCCCAATGAGCTAGAGCTTAGATGTTTAGCATGAAACATCTTCTTATGGGTGTCTACCAAGTTTGTGCAAATAAAAGCCCTTTGGTTAAATTGGCCCTGCAATGTTTGGGGGGGGGGGGGGGTTGGGGCGGCCTATATACAGGTGAGCGACCTCAGGGCCATCATGGCCCTCTTGTTTAAATTATTCATGGTTTTTTCAGGCCAAAGTTATTCTAGGTGAGGAAAGGGAGGCAACTGGGTCTTTACTGAGTATAGACGGAGGAGAAGGAGTAATCAAACTTGATGGTGGAGAAAAGAACATAAAAATGTTGCCCATTAGATATCTGTGCAAAATGCCGAGTTAAATCTAGATTTTATAATAACAAATAACAGTGTTTCGTACATTACAAGACTGATTTAGAATATGTCTTATTCCATAAGCTTATATGGTACAAGAAATGTGCAGAAAGATTTTCAGAGTCCCTAGTGGCTCTGTGTTAAATCACGGATCTTAATTACATGTAAAATAAATCTGTGGTCAAATCTGAACATAAATTTTCTTATATACACATATTGCACAACAAGTGTGAAAAAAATGACAAGAGAAAACTGTGGTTTGGAGGTCACATGTAGATTTAACATACGAAAACAAATTGGAAAAAAAAACATGTTTTTTTTATAAGTCAATTTCACCATGTTAAGAAATTTTGCATTGAATTGCAAAATTTATTTTATTTGCACTTATTATAGTTTAAGTTTTTTGTTCAGATATTCTAATTAAGTATTGAAAATTGTTGTCTTAATATTTATGTGATCAAAAGATAAAGGCAGGAAAGAAAATTCTTTAAAACAATGCAATTATTTTGTGTTTGAATTTGAATATGTCTTTTTATTTAAAAAAAAACAACATTTTTTGTTAAGAGTTTTCAATGCATTGCTCTTTTTTTTTTTGGTAAAAAAACCCAAATCAACCACATTTATCGCACAAAATTTGATCATCAAAATGTAATCACTCATTTATCAAGTCAAAGGTCCCAGGCTGGTGACCTTAAATACATTGCTGAAAAAGTTTACATGTTTTTGCAGTTTTGATGGAAGTAATATTGTTTTTGTCTTTCATTGCTTTTTCTTACAATGATTTTCTTTTATAAATGCTCACTTAATCATGTTAAATAATATTTTTATATGTTCACATGTTGTGCTTTCAATGGTTATTAAAGGTTTTTGATAGGAAAAGGTAAATTTCTGCAGTCAAATCTGAGTTTGATTTGTTTCTTGAGCCAAATAAGGCTTGAAAACAATATAATTGTTCATTGATAAAATTATTTTTAAAACTTTGTTCCGAGATACACAAATTTAAGTCATGTACTTGAAATATAAGGTTAACCCTTCCACTTTTGGAACCAAAATATGATCAGCCTTTGCCACCAGTATAAAGCCAGGCCAGCCTACTGGTGGCTGACCAACTTATTTATTATTCATCTTGACATCCCCAAAGATGGTAATGGGCAGTTCCAAAATTAAAAGTTGGACAAGTCCATTTAAGGAATTCATCAGACCAAAGGTTCAGAGCTCAATTTTCATCATGATATCCCTAAAATGATAATGGGCAGTTCCAAAGTATTGGACAAGTCCATAAATAAATTCACTAGTTTCAGCGTTAAAGAGTTCCTTGGAAAGCAAAGTGTGATTCCTGATTTCTTACAAGTATCTTGATCCTTAGTAATCCATTCATTTCTGTTTTTTTACTTGCCTTTGTAATTGTTTTTAAATATTTCCATAAAAATCAAGTTTAAGTTTAGTTTTGTTTCATTTCACGTTCATACATGTTTTCATTAATGTAGATTTGATTTTTTTTTCTTTTTGAATTTTGAATTTCAAGATTTCACATTTATGTTAGGAATATAAGGACATGGTTTGTAAACGCTTTGATAAACGTTAAGTGCTTTGAAGAGAGAAGAAAAAACAGCTGAATAAACGATGGAAGTTATTGCTTATTTGTTCATTATTTATTCTATAAATAATTCCTGGATTATTGTTGTTAAAGGGACTCCAGTGAGCGTGTTTTTTGCCAAGACAGGATTGGATTTTTTCGAGATTTTTTATACCCCTTGATGTAGGTATATACCAACTACTTTTGTGCATATTTTCAGCCGTTTCTCTAGAATTATACGTTTTAATGCCAGATTAAAAAAGAAAGATACTTTTAACTTGTACGACTGAATTTACTGACTATCGATTTTCAAATGAATTTTCAATATGATTATTAACTATTTCATATATTATCTATCTTTAAAGTTCCCCAAATGATCTATGTACGATTTTCAAATTATATATTTTTGGACCTCAGTGTAGCTCCTTTTGAGTCACTTCGCGTCGTAATGATTTTCCAGTTTTGGAGGAGCGCATACCAGCCTCAAGCCCGGATGCTCCTCAGCCAGTGAAGGTTCTGAAGTCTGGTCCGCTTACGTCAGAAAGTAAGACCTGGGGCCGTATTCATAAAGGATCTTAAGTTTTAAGGGAAACATTTCCTTATCTTCAAGAAAACTCCCTAAGGTAAAATTTTCCCTTAACTTAGAGGTCAAAAATCCCTTAAGTGAATTCCTTAGGCAAGAAATTCCTTAACTTAAATTTTATCCTAAGGCGAAAATTTCGTTTAATAGCAGTTTTTCTATTTGTAATTACCGACTGGAGAGCACTGACTGTGCTAAAAATAGTAACAAAAACAAGATGGCTGACCTAGAGCAGGAAATGCGCGACGTTTCAGACCTTTCATGGATATTTGTTGTATTTCATGGAATTATTCGGACAATCATCATAGGACGAAGGCAGAGGAAAACGATTGTGGGTTTAACACTAGTGACATGGTTTGAGACTGACGTTTTTAAACAATATCAGTTTCATTCGCATGTCGTTCTTGTTTACCTAACTCGCTTCGAAATTTTCCGAAATTACAAAGTGAAAGTAGGGTAAGTGTTTACTATTTTACTGATAAATTAGGCCGATATGATTAAACATACGTAATAGCATGTTTATACAAGAACCATTGTTTCACTCCTAATTGATTTCTTGACGATACATTTGACTATTTTCTGAATTTCGAGTCAATAACTCAAATTATTCGTCCCCTGGTTAACTTACTTCGTGCACATTTAGCCTTTTTGGTAAATTGTTGGAAGTTGATATTTTTTCTGGAAAAAAAAACCCATCTTTGTAACAAATTAAAAAGCCGTGTTGCAAGGGGTTATTAGACAATTGCCAAATTTTATTAATTTTAAACACTATCAAGTCCAAGGTATATACATCATACATGTACATGTAGCCCTCCATGTTTAATATTATCTTGTTTCTTAAATTTGTTTACAATAATTTACTTATTTTTATTTGCATAGTTCATAGTTACAAGATCAAAAAGTTAAATATACATACCGTATATAGAAAAATAAGTAAATAGTGTTTTAACAAATACAATATCATTAATTAATGTTTTTATCATTCATGCAATTATAATACTAATAGATAAATTAAATTATGGACTTCAGTATGTTAGCTTATTTTATTTAAACATTTAAGACATAGGTTACTATCATTTATTGCATGGTTTACTGCCCTAGAGAATAAAAACTCAAACAAAAAAGAAATTCCTTAAAATCATAGACTCATAACCTCTGATCCCCTTACGAAATTCCATTTTTATTTAGTTCCTCCCATTGTTTTTCTCGTTTAGGGCACACGCATTTTTTTACTTGGGGATCATATGCCGCTTTTCATGGAATGGCACTTACGTGTCACATTGAAGGTTCCATGATGACGGCCATATGAACACATCTGCGGATGTTTCAAAATTCAAAGTTGTACCAGTTCATGTTAAATGTTGAATTCTGCTTAAGCCAAGGGGGCGTGGACAGTGGTTTGCACTTGACAGTACCGTCCATGAACAGGCACAATCAAACCAAGCATGCAACATTTTCAATTGTGCCATGTTGGGCTTTCTTTAGGGATTCTTATTTTCTCTATTTTGTTGCTGTTATGTCTGCTTTTAATTTATTATATATGACATAAACAAGCTCATATCAGCTTTGTCTGATAAAATTGATATCAAAAATACAATAGTATGTTATTCTCTATTGCAAATTTAAGTAATTGATGTTCTTTCATTTGGTATTTGATTAAATGAAGATCATTGACACAAGGGAATAAAATAAATGATAAAGAACAATTGTTTCAGTATGACTGGTCTTAGTTAAATTAACTGAAGGAAAAGGACATGAACATTTTAAAAAATAATTGACAAGAACAATGACAATGTTTGAACTCATAATATAAGGCCTTCAATTATTTTGAATTTATCAAAGAGTAACTTCATTGTAAGAGTATATTTACAAGAAAATAATATATATTAAAATAAAGGTTCATTAAAGTTGTTTTGACATGTTAACATATTCACTATGTGTTATGTAATTTTGGTAAAAAAGTGGTTGTTTTCATGTGTTTTTATTCAAGAAAGGCTTTTTAATTATATTTTTCCTCTACGTAATCAACTAATCAGTAATGAAATTTACAATGGAAAAAAATAAAAGGATTTCATCAACAGTTTGTAAATGATTGTGAAAAAAATCTTGTCGAATATTTTTATTCAACTATGGCAAATCATTATTACTATGTGGTGTATCCTTACATTACATGCATTATTAACCAGCATGAATCTGAAGGATCAAAAACAATTTTATTTATTTGTTTGCAAGCAACATAACTGTAGTAATGTACTATGATAAATTAAACAGTATAATTACAACAAACAGTTTTGTCTCATTGATAGAACACAATCTTTATGAAATATCTTAAATACATATAATATGTATTTAAGTATATAAATATGCCATTGGCACTATGACATGGCTTATGGACACATAAAATTTGTAGTTTTCATGTGTAAATTGAACTGAATATTACATTGTAGGTTTTTTCCAAAGCTTCATTTGTAGTTTTGGGCTAAAGAAGATACTACTTTACAGTAATCTGTAATTTATTTAGCTTTCATTTTATATTGAGAGCACCTGAATTACTGTGCATACCAGCTTTTACACATGATACTGTCTAAACCTGTCATTTTAGTAGTTAGTAAGGGAAGTGAGCATAGTAAAATGATTAAAAGAATAATTGTGGCTTGCATATGGTTATTGCAATCAGATTCCTGTGCTGTAACTTTCTTATTTGAAGATATGAAAACAAATCTGTCAATGTATTAGAGTGATTTTTTCCAATTTTAAAAAACAACTTGTGGCTTTCTGAAGGGTATAGTGTGATAAACCAGAAAACGGAAATCTAGTAACATTTGATAAAATTTTCAATTTCAATTCAATTTAACATGCATGATACATAGCAGAGGCTATTGATAGGGTCAGATTATTAATATAAGTCAGCCAGGCTATCTATAGGGACAGCTGTCTGATATAAGTGAGATGCTGCATGTTAAGTCATGGTTCTGGTAAAAAAGTGCACAGGGCATTTAAGGGGAAAATATTATTAACACTTTTAGGGGAAAATATACTTATTTTGGGCTAGGGGAAACAGCCTTTTTGGCTGTAAAATGTAGGGGGGAAAATCATTGTATTAGCAATCCTTATGTTTAATTTATGTCAAAGTAATGACTTCAGCTGTGTTCACACAATATATTTTTAATAATTTTTTAATAGCTGTCATTCAAGTATGCCAGATTCCTTTCACTAAGAACAAATTGACAAAAAGTAGTAAATTAAGTATGCAAGTAAGCCAAGTACATAGACTCTTATAAGGATCTTACACCGGATACCTATAGTATACTGACTGGAAATTCTTGCATAGCAGACTGGAATTTTTGTTCATTTTACCCATGCCGGACTACTTCTCAAAAACTACTGGTGCAATTTCTTTCTAAATTTACAGGAATGATCAGTACCAAGTCTTGTGTGCATATCATCAGCTTTTATGGTTCAATAAATTTTGTTGGATTTATGGCCCTTAAATTATATATTTATGCCCCCATTTCGAAGAAAAGGGGGTATATTGCTTTGCACTTGTCGGTCCGTCGGTCCGTAGACCAAATGGTTTCCGAGTGATATTAACTAAAGAACCCTTAGGCCTAGGAACTTCAAACTTGGTATGGTGATTGGTCATGACAAGTAGATGACCCCTATTGATTTTGGGGTCAAGGGGTCAAAGGTCAAGGTCACATTGACCTTGTAAGCAAAAACGGTTTCCGATCAATAACTAAAGAACCTTAAGGCCTAGGAACTTCAAACTTGGTATGGTGATTGGTCATGATTAGTAGATGACCCCTATTGATTTTGAGGTCAAGGGGTCAAAGGTCAAGGTCACATTGACCTTGTAAGCAAAAACGGTTTCCGATCAATAACTAAAGAACCTTTAGGCCTAGGAACTTCAAACTTGGTATGGTGATTGGCCATGATCAGTAGATGACCCCTATTGATTTTGGGGTCAAGGGGTCAAAGGTCAAGGTCACATTGACCTTGTAAGGAAAAACGGTTTCCGATCAATAACTAAAGAACTTTAAGGCCTAGGAACTTCAAACTTGGTATGGTGATTGGTCATGATCAGTAGATGACCCCTATTGATTTTGGGGTCAAGGGGTCAAAGGTCAAGGTCACATTGACCTTGTAAGCAAAAACGGTTTCCGATCAATAACTAAAGAACTTTTAGGCCTAGGAACTTCAAAGTTGGTATGGTGATTGGTTATGACCAGCAGATGAACCCTATTTATTTTGGGGTTAAGGGGTCAAAGGTCAAGGTCACATTGACCTCTTGGGTAAAAACGGTTTCCGATCAATAACAAAAGAACCCTTAGGCCTAGGGACTTCAAACTTGATATGGTGATAGGTCATGATCAGTAGATGACCCCTATTGATTTTGGGGTCAAGAGGTCAAAGGTCAAGGTCACATTGACCTCTTAGGTAAAAACGGTTTCCGATCAATAACTAAAGAACCCTTAGG